GCCCCTGATCTCAAGTGACATGACTAGCTATTTATAAAATCCTACAGCATCCACAAAAAAGCCACTAGAGTAAGAGGTTAATCATACTAATAGATCAATGTACAAATATTAATTGTATTTATACGTAGCAGCAATAATTAACAACTAAAAAATACCAATGTAATAGGATTAAAAATATGAAATACCAAAGGGATGAATTTGACAAAAATATAGAAGACCTGCATACTTCTATTACAACTTGCTAAGTCAAATAATCATGAAATGGAATGCCTGGCTCACTCAATCTGTAGAGCATGAGATTCTTAATCTTTTTTTTTTTTTTTTAAGATTCTTAATCTTTTTTTTTTTTTTTTTTAGATTCTTAATCTAAAAGTCATGAGTTTGAGCCCCATGTTTGGGGTAGTTTGCTTAAATAAACTAAATAAACATTTTTTTAAAAAAAACCAAGAATATTGAATTTTGTCACTTATTCTTTCTGAATTCACTAAGATGATCAAATGTCTTTTTTTCTTTTCTAATCTTTGATATAATGAATTATAAAACACTGATAAGTCTTAAAAAATTGTAAATAAGCAGAGACCTACATAAACGCAGAGATCATACAGGGCTCATGGGTCTGAACTGAGACTCAGTCTGTTAAAGATGTCAATTCGCCTCAAATTAAACTACAGAATCTGGGCAATCTCAGTCAAAATTTAGTAAGCTTTTTATGGGACTGAATGATCAACCAACTCTATATGAAAATATAAAACAATATTGAGAAAAAACAAAAAAGAGAATTCATACTATTTTATTTCAAAATTCTAAAACTTCAGTAAATAAAACAATGTGGAATTGACATAAAGACAGAAAGACAGAAAAAAGTAAGAGAAATAACCACAAAATGAAAAACAAATGGAGTCGAAATGGATCCACACATATATGGTCAATTAATTTTCAATAAACATGCAAAGGAAATTCAAAAGAAAAAAATAATTTTTTCAACAATTTGTGAACACCCACAATTAGTATTTATATGAAAGGAAAGTTTATCAATAACTCATTCCATATAAAAACATTAATTCAAAATAAATCATAAATGTAAAACTTTGAAATTTTTAAAGAAAACATTCAAGAAATCTTTGTGACCTTAAGTTGGGCAAATATTCTTATATTTGAGCACAAACCTTAAAAAATACTTGATAAAACACAATCAAACTGGAAACTTATGTTTTTTAAAAGACACTGTTAAGAGAATAAAAAGATAAGTGTGCAAGAGTTACCTGAGCAAGGCAAGGTGGCACAAAATGCACATTACCAAGAAAGGCCTGTCTTTAGGACAGGTTCCTTGTGGACTCCTGAAGGATGAGCTCTGAGGCCTTGGAATATATGTCTGATAAGAATGTTTATGTAGGGGTGCCAGGATGGTTCAGCGACTTCAAGCCCCACTTGGGTGTGGAGGCTATTTAAAAAAACAAACAAACAAAAAAAGTGTTTATGTATGCCTGGAGCCTTACATACTTGGTACCAGTTTGATTAGAGAGTTTATTCTAACTATGTGATTTTTGGTAAATGCAATTTTGCTCTGGAGGGCTGGAGTGTGAATAGGTGAGTTCAGTCAAGGAGGCCCCTGATGCATGGTGACTGACTACTGATAAAAACTCTAGACAACAAGTCTGGGGTGAAGTTCCTTATCTAACAAACGAACAAACAAAAAGTTCCTTTTTGACAATACTTTGCACATGTGACACTCAGCTGCAAGAACTAAATCCATCAACTCCACTGGGAAAGGACTCCTACAAGCTTAGTCTATGTGTGTTTTCCCTTGCTCATTTTAATCTGTGTCTTCTCACTGTAAAAAATTGTAATTATGAGTATAGCTTTTTTTTTTTTAAGATTTATTTATTCATGAGAGACACAAAGAGGGAGGCAGAGACACAGGCAGAGGGAGAAGCAGGTTCCCTGTGGGGAGCCCGATGTGGAACTCGATCCCAAACTCGATCTCAAGACCTCAGGATCATGACTTGAGCCAAAGGCAGATGTTCAACCATTGAGCAAATCAGGTGCCCGAGTATAGCTTTTCTGAGTCATAGTCCATCAACAAAATGAGTGGACTTGGGGAAAACCCTGACAACAGCTGGCATCAGAAGTGGGATTTTGCTATAATGACCCTGGCTCGCCAAAACACAATGAAAGCACTCTGTGGGAAAAAGAAGGATAATGGGGCAGAGAATGATGAATTTGGCACCTAATGTTTAACCAGTCAACAAAGATATACGGACAACAGCCACACCATGATCAATAATTACAGGTAGATACATAGTCAATGGAATTTAGAAGTGACAGAAAAAAATTCTCAAGACAGTTGCCTGACTGGATACATAAGGAAATATGAAATAATGAGAAAGAGAAATAAGCTAAATGTTCAATTTCTGTTATTTTTATCAGTAATAATTAAAATGAAAGCAGAATGTTAAGGCCAATGTTGGAACTGCATCAAGTTTGGATTTCAGCCAGTTCAAATCAGTGCTGATAGTCTATGGGCTACCAAAGGGAAACTTACAGTCATGTATCATTTATAATTCATATTGAAAATTTGATGGCTCTTTTCAATATAAAAAAGAATCTGAATCTTTCATTCTGGGAAAATGTTCATATATTATTTATTGTTCTATTATTCTAATTTTCCTTTTCTTTGCCATCTGTACTCTGTAGGAGATTTCCATGACTATAATTACCTACATTTTTGTGTTTATTTCAGGTATCATGTTTTCAATGAGAAAGGCTCTTATTCTCTGATTGGTCCTTTTTAAAATAACACCTTCGTTGAGATATAATTCAGAAACCATACAGGTTACCCATTTAAAGTGCATAATTCACTAATTTTTAGTGTACTTGCATAGTTGTCCAAACATCACCACCATCTATTTTAGAATATTTTCATCATCCCAAAAGGAAACCTGTTAGCAATATCCATTAGCAGTCATTCATCACTTCCTCTCCCATCAGCAACAACCTACTTTTTCTGTCTCCATGAATTTGCCTATTATGGACTTTTTATATAAATGGAATACGATACGCAATCCTTTGTGACTGGATTCTTTCATTTAGCATACTGTTTTCAAGATACACCTCTATTACGGTATATCAGTACTTCATTTTTTTAGACAATAGTATGTCATTGGATAGATACTATTTATTTATCCATTCATCCACTGATGACATTTGGGTTGTTTATTCTTTTTGGCCATTATAAAAAATGCTGCTATGAACACTCATGTGTAAGTTTTTGTGTGGATACACACTTATTTTCACTTCTCTTGGGTAGATAGCTGGGAGTGAAAATACTGGTTCAAATGGTAACTCTGTTATCTTCTGAGGTACTACCAGACTGTTTTCCAAAGTGGCTGCATCATTTTACACTCCCACGAGTGGTTTATCAATGTTCTAATTTTTCCACATCTTCACCAATACTTGTCATTGTCTTTTGATTATATAGCCATACTAGGAGTATGAAGTCATACTTCTTTTAAGTTGGCATTCTGTTATGTTTTAAATATTTTTTTCAAAGATTTACTCATTTATTTGAGAGAAAAAGAGAGCACAAGCAAGGGGAGGGACAGAGGGAGAAGAGAATCTCAAGCAGACTCTCCACTGAGTGTGAAGTCCAACAAGGGGCTAGATTTCATGATCCTGTGACCATGAGGAGAGCCAAAATCAAGAATTAGATACTTTTTATTAAATTCTTTGTTCCCTGAATTGTCTCTATTTCCTTAAGGTTCATCTTAGTTGTTTTGAGTTTCTGCCTTTCAATTTGGAGGCATTCACAACAAATGCTCATGACCACTGGCTGCCCACTTATGTTTAAAACTCAAAAATACTTAAAACCTTGTTTATGAATGGCATTTTTTGATGTACACCAACCTTGCTTTTTCAATGGGAATCCCGTATATTAACATTTATAGATCTTTTTTCTTAAGACATTTAGATTTTCCATATAAGATTCTTTTATCTCCAGTCTGAGACTATTTTATACTAGATTACAAGACTTCCAAAGAAAGAAGAGGGGAAGGAGCTGGTACTTCTACCACATAGTATAAACATATTAACTTGATCTTTCTGACTTTTGACCTGCACACCAATCCTACTAAACACCCAATCTGGTATTCCTGCATCCAGAACCTCAATAGTTTAATGTCTCCATATCCTATACCACCAGTTTCCCAAGTGTTTGGGTAAAAAGTTAGCTGCTTGATTAGAAAAGAAAAGGTCTAACAGTCTATTCTTTTGCTGTAAAAGAAATCTTGTTTTTAGCTCCAGACTTGAACCTTGAATATTATAGTATCAGATTCCTTCAAATCCCAAGACTTCTTTCAACTCTGTAGAGCAGATAATCTCTTTTCAATCCTGTCTCTTGACACACAGATACTTATTTCCTTCCATGCATTTTACATTCTTGTTTACAAATTTGTTTGACCTAATGGATTTACACCTTTTTTTTTTTTTAAGATTTTATTTATTTATTCCTGAGAGACACAGAGAGAGGCAGAGACACAGGCTGAGGGAGAAGCAGGCTCCCTTGTGGGGAGCCTGATGTGAGACTTGATCAGGATCACGACCTGAGCCAAATGCAGACGCTCAACCATTGAGTCATCCAGGCATCCTTGGACTTACACTTTTAAAAAATGTGTTTATTGACATGTAAGTTAAATTCTGAGAACAGATGAGTATTATGATCATTTAACTATGTTTAATGCTTTTGCTTTTATTATGAAGAGTTTAATCAAATGAAAATTAAATTTAAGAATAAAGTTTACACACTAAACACTAACAAGAGTTCTGATATACAAATTAGTGAGATGAAATTCAAGCCATTTAAAATATTCCATTCAATAAAACATAAAATCAAAATAAAAAAATTATATGGCTTTTAAGTGGTTTCATCCTATTTATGTCACGAATCCCAAACACTTCTAGTTATAAACTAATAAGGGTTACTACCGATTCATTAAGTGACTTACCTCTTCTTTTCCTAATGTTACTAGAACTTCTTCATTCAGTGAAATTACTGCAGAAACAAAACAAACCGAAATATATATATATATATATATATATATATATATATATGCTTTCTTAACTCAAAAATAAAGAATTTGATTTTTTTGATTTCTAAGATACCTCTATATTTTTATATATATGTTTTCTTAACTCAAAAATAAAGAATTTGATTTTTTTGATTTCTAAGATACCTCTATATTTTCTTCTTTAACATCTTATACATATATAACCAACTTTAATTTTAGACAAACATGACATTTATGCATTTTTTAGTTTTATGCCTTTTGTCTTTTTAATCCCTCAAAAACAAAATTAATAATCTATACTGTGTCCTTTAAATATTTCTCTCTGTAATTATATGATCCTATGCATATACATGTAGATGTACAGATAATGTACATCTTGATTATAGCCATGCTAGGCGGTATGAATAATACATTGTACCTGTACATTACCTGTTCACATATATGCAAGGGTTATTCATTTTGGTATTGGTTTTACAAGAATGGGATATCATACACATTATTATTTTCACTAAACAAAATCTCCAAGGAAATCCTTTCTATTCATCTTATGTAAGTCTAATTCATAATTTTAAATCGCTTCAAAATATTCTACAGAACATACCATATTGTAGTGATATTAATACTGACTGAACCTAACTTTTAGCCACAAAAAAACAATAATGGTGTAAGCAATTTTTTAACATATGTCTTTACGTGCTAGTGCTTCTATTTCTTTGGGATAAATTTTCAGAAACAGAATTTCCTAGAAGGAAATACGTATTTTTAATTTTAAAATAGAATGCCAGATTCTTTTCTAAAAAAATTCTATTAGCAATTAAGAAACACCAAAAAATATAAACTCTTCTAAAATTTTTGCCAATTTATGAGTATAAACTAACGTTTCAGTTTAATTTTGTATAGCAAAATTATTATTTTTTTTTTAAGATTTTATTTATTTATTCATGACACAGAGAGAGAGAGAGAGACACACAGGCAGAGGGAGAAGCAGGCTCCATGCAGGGAGCCTGACATGGGACTCGAGCCCGGGTGTCCAGGATCATGCCCTAGGCTGAAGGCGGTGCTAAACTGACGAGCCACCGGGGCTGCCCAGTCTAGCAAAATTAAATCCTTATACTTAGAAAAGTTCAATCTTTGTACTTTGTTTACTTTTCCTAATAAAGTACTATTTAGAATTTCTCAAATAATATGCTACTGAAAACTTTCTAATTTATCTGCTATTCTAGAGGGACAAGACAACTGACCGGAAAGAGCTTCCCACATGTGCTTCATAGGCCCTGTATCAGAACTGATTATTGGCAGCCCCAGGATGGCTACCAAATCATTTCAACAAAAATGAAAAGGATTCTAAGAACATAAAGTTAATAATCTCCCTCTTGGCCAGTGTGGCCATGAGTAGTATTTCCTATTGATTCACATAATCATTTCAACTCATACAATATAGCAGCTTCTAAGAATATAAATATATTTTAAGTCCTTTTGGGACTGGCAAACCCAAGCAAAAGGTGTATTTGGCTTACGGATCAGCCTGTGTGCTTGGTGTTATCAGTACAAAACATGTATATAAGGGATGATGATAATAAGAAAAATAAAAATTGAAAATTTCCTGATACATAGCATCAAAACAAATAAAATACTTAGAAATAAATTTAACCTAGGAGGCAAAAGACTTGTATGCCAGAAACTATAAAATGTGGCTGAAAAAAATTAAAGATACCAACACATATAAAAATATCCCATGTTCAAGGATTAGAACACTTAATATCGTTAGACATCAATATTACCCAAACTGACCAACAGCTTCAATGTAATTTCCATCAAAATCCCAATATTTTTGTAGAAAATAGAAAAAAATCTACCCTAAAATTCACATGGAATCTCAAAGGAACCCAAATAGCCAAAATAAGTCTCACATTTCCTAATTTCAAAATTTACTACAAGGCTACAGTAGTCAAAAAAAGTGTGCTGCTGGCATAGAAATAGACATATAGACCAATAGAAGAGAATAAAGAATCCAGAAATAAATCTTCACTATATGGTCAAATGATTTTTGACGAGGGTGCCAAGACAACTCAATGGGGGAAAGAACAGTTTTCTCAACAAATAATAATAGGAAAACTAGATAATACACATGTAAAGGAATGAAGTTAGACCTTTAACTTTCAAGTTTCAAAATTTCTATTGTTAATAACAAATAATCTTGAACAGGAGGTAAAACGTCTTTTATAACAAATTAGTGGATTGATGATCAAGACCTAGAGTAAATGTGTGGCAGTAGGGCTCAATATTTAATGACTGGCTTGGGTAATATATGGAAAAGGAAGAATCTAGAAGGACTCTTAAATTTATGGCTGATCAAATAGATTCCACTCAAGGGATCAGAGAATGGAGATGAATTCACAAATCTGAGGCATGTGTAGAATATTTTGGAAAAGATGTCTAGAAAGTAGAGAGATATATAAGTGTGATGATGCAGAAAAGTCAGGTTTGGGTACAGAGATTTGGAAGCTGGTATGAAAACTGTATTCCCCTCTTCACCCAAAATCATATTTTGAGGTTCTAATCCCTAGCACCTGTATTTGGAACTGAGTCTTTAAATATGAGATTAAGGGGGATCCCTGGGTGGCTCAGCAGTTTAGCGCCCACCTTCGGCCCAGGATGTGATCCTGGAGCCCCGGGATCGAGTCCCGCATCTGGCTCCCTGCATGGAGCCTGCTTCTCCCTCTGTCTGTGTCTCTGCCTCTCTCTCTCTTTCTCTGTGTCTCGCATGAATAAATAAAATCTTTAAAAAAAAAATGAGATTAAGTTAAAGTGAGGTGATTAGAATAGGCCCTACTCTATAATGACTGGTGTCTTCATACAAAGAGATTAGGACACAGACGGGCTACCATGTGAAAACCTAGGGAGAAGATAGCAAAATATAAGCCAAGAAGAGAGGCTTCGGAAGAGACCAACCTGGTAAATACCTTGATCTTGGACTTTTAGCCTCCAGAATTATGAAAAAATTAATTTCTGTTGTTTAAGCAACCCCAGTCCATGGTACTTTGTTAAGGCAGCCCTAGCAAACTGATATAGAAGTCATTAACACAGATATATCATATAAAAACAAAAGCAAAAAATATAATGCTAGAATAGCATGTAGAGGGATCCCTGGGTGGCACAGCGGTTTAGCGCCTGCCCAGGGCGCGATCCTGGAGACCTGGGATCGAATCCCACGTCGGGCTCCCAGTGAATGGAGCCTGCTTCTCCCTCTGCCTATGTCTCTGCCTCTCTTTCTCTCTCTGTGTGACTATCATAAATAAATAAAAAATTAAAAAAATTAAAAAAAAATTTAGAATAGCATGTAGAGTAGGAAGTGAAAATTGCTGAGCACAGTCCTCTAGAGAACAGCAAATTTTTTTTTTTAAAGATTTTATATATTTATTCATGAGAGACACACACAGAGAGAGAAGCAGAGACACAGGCAGAGGGAGAAGCAGGCTCCATGCAGGGAGCCCGACGTGGGACTTGATCCCATGTCTCCAGGATCACACCCTGGGCTGCAGGTGGCGCTAAACCGCTGCACCACTGGGACTGCCCAGAACAGCAAATTTTAACAGCACAGTACGAGCAGCCTTTGAGATGCTCAATGTAATCCTGAGGAGGCAACAGGATATACAGTTTAATGCAAATTAAAGACGCAACTGTGTACACACGCTATCAGAAATGCCAAAATGTGGTAGTAAAAATGTGGAACAGTGGTAGATACGGATAGATTAGATATACATATATATGTATATATATATAGACATATACATATCTATCTAATCAAACTATATATATTATATAAAAAGTATACATATTTAAAATATAAAAAGTAGTTAAAATCAAGACTCTGGATGGAATTGTCTAGAAAGAAAATGAAAAGAAGAATCTCAACAACTGGGATTAGAGAGCAATAATCCTACACAGAAAACTAAAATGGGAATTGGGGGGGAGTTAAAGGAAAGGAGGCAAATGGGCAGGAGAAAGAAGTGAGATGCTAAAAGAAAGAGGTACAGTCGATATAAAATACCAAATACATACATATATTTGACACAGAAAAAGTAAGCTTTCATAATAGAAAAGTATTTCCTAGCTGGGTATTTTAACTATAGATTTTTAAGCCATTTTCTATTTCTTCACAAAAGGCAAATATATAGCTGGCCCCTGCTGAACAAGAGGTAACATACAATCTATGTGGTCCTTATGTAATTAAGTATCAAAAATAACTTTTCTCCTCTACCAGTTAAGTTTCATTCATTAAGATACGATTTACAGTTTCTACTGAGCAGGTAAGATAGTGTCTGTAAGGATCAAATGATGGTTATAATAAGGTCTCCATAACTTAAGATTATTATAAAACCACAAATATATATTTACCTATAATAATAAAATAAGCACAAAATTATGTATATAAATGAAAGAAAAACTTAGGCAATTGCAACAAAGCTAAATGGATCTTGTAATACTTGTAATCATCACATTAAATTGCCACTAAAAAAATAAAAATAAAAAAAAATAAATTGCCACTAATATGTTTACAGAAATATAAACCTAAAAATAAGAACCTTACTTTCAGGACTTTCTTTCTGCCATTGACTGAGTTCAGCAGTCAAACATTTAGCTTGCATAATTAATAATGACAGCTATAAAAAAAAAAACAAGAGTATAAAACAGTTATTTCTTACAGAATATTTATACATACTCACAGATTAAAGTGTAGATATTTTTAATATTTTAACACAAGTTCCTAACATAAATAGCTAACATAATAGGCATCCAAACTATAAAAATTTATCACTCTAAACAAAATTCTGCTTTAAACCATACTAATTATAGCTTATAAATTGCCTGTTATACAAATGATATAATCTTTAAAAATGATTAATTCTACTTTACCACTCAACCTAAAATAAAAGGACATAAGCATATTTCTTTTATTTCTTAAATTAGTATTACTTTAAAAATATAGGAGTGTCTAGCTGGTTCAGTCAGTAGAGCATGTGCCTCTTGATCCTGAGGCTGTGAGTTCGAGCCCCACATTGGGTGTAAAGATTACTTTAAAATCTTTAGGGGCACCCGGATGGCTCAGTGGTTGAGCATCTGCCTTTGGCTCAGGTCCTGGGATTGAGTCCTGCATCGGGCTCCACACAGGGTGCCTGCTTCTCCCTCCATGTCTCTGCTTCTCTCTGTGTGTCTCTCATGAATAAATAAATAAAATCTTTTTTAAAAATTTATTATTATTTATTTATTAGAGAGAGAGAGAGAACAAGCAGGGGAGGGGGGAGAAGGAGAAACAGACTCCCTGCTGAGCAGAAAGTCCAACTCAGGGCTCTCAGTCCCAGGACCCTGGGTTCATGACCTGAGCCAAAGGCAGACACTCAGGCATTCCCCCCAAAATTTTAAAAAATACATATATAGAGACAATTATAAAATGAGATTGGCTCTACAGGTTATTTATAAAAATCAGTTTTACTACACAACGGTTTAAGATGGTATGTTCCTGATATTATCTGTAATTCATACAATCTAATCACTGTAATTTTGATAATTAACAAATCTATATGATAAATCTGCTGCCTGATTAGATTATTAGATTGAAGTCTAGGGATGCCTGGGTGGCTCAGTGGTTGCGTGTCTGTCTTGGGCTCCAGGTGTGATCCTGGAGTCCTGGGATCCAGTCCCACATCAGGCTCCCTGCAGTGAGCCTGCTTCTCCCTCTGCCTCTGTCTCTGCCTCTGTCTCTGTGTCTCTCATGAATAAATAAAATTAAAAATAATAATAATAATAATAAATAAATTGAAGTCTATGTATATTTAAAGTTAAATTTCAGTACATTTTTTATCACCTCTATATACTTATTGGTAGCCAGATAAAAAATGCAATGGGTATTAATATTTACACTAAAAGAACAAGTACTGTCTTTTTAAGTAATATTTTTAAAGATTTTATTTATTTATCTATTTGAGTAAGAGAAAGCACACAAGCTGGGGGAGGAGCAGAGGGACAGGGACATCAAACCCTGGGCTGAGCGTGAGCTCAACTCAGGGCTTGATCTCATGACCCTGAGATCATGACCTGAGCCAAAATCAAGAGTCGGATGCTTAATTGAGGGAGCTACCCAGGTGCTTCTTAACCAATTTTTATGATACAGAGAGCAGGTCGTTCAAAGACCTTGCTCCGTATCACATCATTGACTGTTAAATAGAGGGAAAAAAATCTAGTATATTTCAAAGTTTTATATAATTACATAAAAATGCATTTACAGGTATTTAAAATTTTTACCAAAGGAGAATTTAACATTATTTTCTTATAGATAATTAAATATGAATTTAAAAAGTCTGTTGTGAACTATAAAGAGATTTCATAAATGCTAATTATAACTAAGAAGAAATAACAAATTTCTTAAAAAGTAGTATCTAAACTAGGCAAAACTATCATCACAATAAGTTGGTAACACTTTTTGTGAACATACTAAATTGAAATGCATAAAATAAATATTAATTTTTTAACCTTTTAAAAGAAAGTAATTTCATACGGTTCAACCTCATACTATGCTGATGACATACAGCTCTTACCTTCCCAAAGCCCATCTAAGGCAAACACCCAAATTATTTCTGACCTGCCAAATAATTAAACAATACTTTCTAAAAAACAGCAGTATTTCTAAAGTGACTTCTGTGAAATTTGAGAATTCTTTCCATTTTCTAATTTAAAAATATCTAACTTCTTGCTTTAAAAATGGATTGAGGGGATCCCTGGGTGGCGCAGCGGTTTGGCGCCTGCCTTTGGCCCAGGGCGCGATTCTGGAGACCCCGGATCGAATCCCACGTCGGGCTCCCGGTGCATGGAGCCTCCTTCTCCTTCTGCCTGTGTCTCTGCCTCTCTCTCTCTCTCTGTGTGTGTGACTATCGTAAATTTAAAAAAATAAAAAATAAAAAAAAATGGATTGAGTTTTAATACTGAAATTTTATAGCTAATAGGTATGCAAAAAAGAGTAACCAAAGCAACCTTGAGATTATTTAAAAGGCCTGCTTACAAAGCTGGCTGGCCCTTGGCTGGTATCTGGGAACTTGTATTTTGAGATGGTTCCCATCAACTTATTAAGAGTGACTCATTGTGTCTGTACTGTTTTTGCAAAGAATAGAACTTAAGCTGAGCACCTGCTTTCCTTCTGGAAATCTGGTATTTTGGCAGAGGGTGCCTATGTGACTGGCCCCCACAAAACACCTTGGTCACTGAATCTCTAATGGGGTTCCCAGGTAAAAAAACAAACAAACAAAAAAAAAAACCCAACATTTCACACTGTCACAACCCTTTGGGGGCAACTAAGCACATCTTGTGTGAGACTCTGATAAGACAGAACTCCTGAAAGCTTGTGTCTGATATCCTCTGGACTTTACCCCATGGTCCTTTGCCCTTTGATGATTACTCTGTATCCTTTTAATATAATACATCTCAGCCATGAATCTAACTGTACTGAGTCTTAGGAGTCCTCCTGTGAGTTACTGTGAGACTTGTGAATTACTCCTGGGAGTAATCTTTGGGATCCCTTAGATAATGTGATTATTGACTATCTAAGGATACTGATTCTTTACAGCTATATAAGCACTTCCACCAAAGCCAGTTGTTTGTTTGGATCATTGCATGAAAATCATTCAAGAAATGTATAGGCCCAGAGCCCAGTGATTCTGATTCAGTAGGTCTCAGTTTCTCTAATATAGGAACCACATTTCCCAAAAAAACTAGATGACAGTTTATTTACTATATAATCCTATTTCAAATACAATATTCAGTTTTACCCAGTACAAGAGAACTTTATTTTATTGATAGATGCAAAATGTTTTTTAAAAGATAGCTTCATCCTTCATCACTAATTTCTAAAGATCTGATATAATAGGTACTTTCAAAAATGACAAATTAGTTTTTCCCCTTCTTTTTCTCTCTCATTCTCATTCAGTATTATTATGCTCATAGATTCTCATTTTCTCATATTGTTATAATCAATCAAAGCCATTATTCCTTTTCTTGTTCAAATGATGTTAAATTTGTGTTTTTCTGGAACAGAGCCTAAATCTTTATTTTTCATAACTTACTTTTTCTCAAATTAGACACGTTTACACTGAGTAGCACTAAAAGGAAATTTAAATTTCTAATAGCTACATGTAAGCTTGATTCCAGTCTTAATGAAAAGGAGTAAAAGAAATACAGAAGCCCTCAAAAAAGCTTCTGCATTACACCCCACTTCACGAACTGATGGCTTCTTCTCTGCTTCTGAGTTCACTTGTCTGCTGCTCTCTGTGTAACACACCATGAAGCACACGAACCCCCAACTGCAGCTTGCGGGCAGCAGACACAAGCATACACCTTCCTCACTTGCTGCCCTTATAACAAATTGAACCAATTTTTTTTTTTAATTTTTTAAATTTTTATTTACTTATGATAGTCACAGAGAGAGAGAGAGAGGCAGAGACACAGGCAGAGGGAAAAGCAGGCTCCATGCACCGGGAGCCCGATGTGGGATTCGATTCCGGGTCTCCAGGATCGCGCCCTGGGCCAAATGCAGGCGCCAAACCGCTGCGCCACCCAGGGATCCCTGAACCAATTTTTAAATGTAAACTGTGGGATTTGGAACTCAAGAGTACCTTCAACTGGTTCTTTTTTTTTTTTTTTAAATTTTTATTTATTTATGATAGTTACACAGAGAGAGAGAGAGAGAGAGAGAGAGAGAGGCAGAGACACAGGCAGAGGGAGAAGCAGGCTCCATGCACCGGGAGCCCGATGTGGGATTCGATCCTGGGCCTCCAGGATCGCGCCCTGGGCCAAAGGCAGGCGCCAAACCGCTGCGCCACCCAGGGATCCCCCTTCAACTGGTTCTTACGTCGTCTGACATTCTACTACCAGTTTTAAGAATTTTCTTTAGAATTATTTGTGTATTTGACTTTGTTCTTAAAATTAACACTAAAACATTTTAAATTTTTCATATGGTCAAATATATGTTGTCTTTTATAATATCTAGTTATCTACTATTAGCTAAGAAGTTTGCCCTGTCCCTAGACTGCACAAAGTCTCCTGACTTTTAAGAGTTTTATGACAATCCATCTAGAATATATGTTTATATAATGAAAGACAGAGGTCTAATTTGGTTTTCTCCAAAATGGATAACTAATTGTACCACTATCATTTATTAACTAATTCGTCCTTTTCCCACAAACTGGAACTACCATCTTCGCCACATTTAAACTTTTTAATCTGTTGCAATGATCCATTGGTATATTCTTAAACCAATTCCACAGATCTTTGTTTATTAAAATGGATATCTAAATCCTTTATTTCAGCATACAGTAAAATCAATTAAGGTTCCACATACAGTAAAAAACTGGCTACTAATCTTAACACAAAGTAGGGCAGTATGTGTTCAAATTTTTAACAAGGTGTTATCTGATTTACATTTATTGACTAAACAGGTAAACATGTGTAACTGTTAAAAGATAATGAAAATATTCTTATTTATTTATAATAGTTTATTTAAAAAGTATTTAGAATACTTCCCTAAGTCAGAAAATAGAGAATTTTCTAAGTGATTAAGCATACAGGTATCAACAAAGCTATCATATGTGGGTTTAACATGGATGAATAATATTACCCAAACCAAAATGAGTTAAACTTACCTATTTTTAGGAAGAAAAAAAGGATTCATACCTGAGCATTTGAATCAGTGAGTGTCTCAGTTCCAACAAGTGATAATTTTTTCTGACACTTCATTTAAAAAGTAAATAAAAACAAAAAAAAGTAAATAAAACAAGTTACACACTTAAAGCTTTTATATATAACAGATAATTCCCTTTCCCTTTTTTATACAAGTCAATTTAATACTTATTTAAAATAATAAATACAAATAACTGATACATGAGAAGAGTTTATGTTCCCCACTTTCTAAGCAAGTGGATTAGGAGGGTTACCAAACAGGTCCCGAGATGAACATATCAGAAGTAGACGTAGATACTAGATTCTATATAGAACAAAAAAATCATAAGAAATAAGGAAAAAGAAAATATAAAATAGGTATGGTGAATTAGAAACTAGATAATGGAAAAATAGGAAATAAGAGAATAAGAAGGAAAGTACTATAGAAAAATAATGGAAGAGGTAGCAATATAGTTAAGATCATAACAAAGCCTTCAGGAGACATTGTTTCTATGCCACCTTTAAAAACTCACAACTATTAATAGTGATTATACCTGATTGAAAATATGGATAATTTAAATTTTACTTGTGCGCTTATTTCTAGTATGTTATCAATTTACAAAAAAAAAAAAAATTTTTTTTTTTTTTTTTTTTTTTTTTTTAATTTACGTATAGGTGTCTGGGGTAGGTGGCTCAATTGATTAAGCTTCTGCCTTCAGCTCAGGTCACAATCCCAGGACCCTGGGATCAAGTCCCACATCAGGCTCCCTGCTCAGATCCTTTACCCCTTCCCCTGCTTGTGATCTTTCTCTCTCTCACACTCCCTCTCTCTCAAATAAAAAAAATAAATAAATAAAAATTAAAAAAAAATAAAGATGTATTTATTTGAGACAGTGTGAGGGCTGGGGCAGAGGGAGAGGGGAGAGAGAATCCCAGCAGACTCCAAGCTGAGTTCGAAGCTCAACATGAGTCGGATGCTTAATCAACTATGCCACCCAGGCACCCCATAAAATTTGTTTTTTTATTTTTATTTTTATTTATTTATGATAGTCAAACAGAGAGAGAGAGAAAGAGAGAGAGAGAGGCAGAGACATAGGCAGAGGGAGAAGCAGGCTCCATGCACCGGGAGCCTGACGTGGGATTCAATCCCGGGTCTCCAGGATCGCGCCCTGGGCCAAAGGCAGGCTCCAAACCGCTGCGCCACATAGGGATCCCTATTAATGCTATTTTAAGTAGAAAAAACTTTTATCAACATACTATATTTTATCAGAAATGATTATATCTCACTAATTCAGAAAATGTACATATATTTCAAAGACATTTTCTAACTTAACTCATATTTTCACTCAAACTCCACAATTACATGTTCTTCTCTATTCTCTATCTTAGGGAATGAACCTTACCAACCTCGTAGTGACCCAAACGAGAAACCTGAAAGTATCCATAATTTTCCACCATATCACAATTAAATGTCAAGTTCTTTAGGTTCTACCTCCTTAGTGTCTCTTGAATCCTGCTATTTGCTAGGATAGGATTTAGCCCTTTGGTACTTCTTATCAAAACTAGTACTAGGGCCTCTTAATTGCTCTTTCTACCTGTAGTCTAAGTCTCCTATATTCCATTTTCTTCAAAACCACCAAGTAATTTTCCCAAACTATGCATCTCATGTCACTTCATGTTTATAATCTTTTAGTGGCTCCCCATAGTATGACTGCAACACAATCCTCCATGTTCTTGCTCCTAATTACCTTTCCAGCCTGACTCTATAGGTCCTTCTTCTATATTCTACCTAGAGTTCTCTAAACTCTAAACTCTCCCAATGTTTATATATTTTGTTCTTCTGCTTTGTGTAACTCTCCTACTTTCAGAGGCTGATTCCTATTTATTCTTTAGAAATGAATTCGATTACTACTGCTTTCATTTATTGTTAAGAGGTGGGGGAGGGGCCATGGGAGAGAAAGAAGAGAATCTTAAGCAGGCTCCATACCCAGCGGTAGCCTGAGGCAGGGCCCGATCTCAGAACCCTGAAATCATGACCTGAGCCAAAAGCAAGAGTCAGATGCTTAACTGACAAGGCCACCCAGGTGCATCTAGATATTATTGCTTTTAGAAAGCTATCCTTTCAATCTAGGTGTGCTATTTGTCCTAAGTAGTCTTTGCATTTCTACCACAGTATTTCTAATATAACGGCTACTGCATCTATTAAATGATAATCTCCTTGAGCGCTGGGACTGTCATAATTTCTTCTCTTTCTATAGCTCATCTGGCATAAAGTTTATTGAATAAATGCTTACAGGTCTAAAAGCTATATAAATATTTATCATATAATATAATGGCTTTTAGGAACCAACATAATTATTTTTCTTGAGTCTACTATTGAAATAGATTTTAAATCTTACAGTAATTAAAAAAATAAATCTTACAGTAATTAATACGTATATCACTTTTATTTCTTGGTACTTACTTCTTCCATATCTTTCCACAGTTCTTCACATTCTTTAATAAGTTTTTCTTCAGCATCTGTAATGTCTTCCATATCTGTAGTGCTGTCTGAATCTAGATCTTGCTGATTCACTGACATGCCTAATAATTCTTAGCCTTGTAAGAAAAACTGAAGTAAAAAATATTTATTTATTTAACAATATGTGTTGAACACCTATTACTTGCCAGATACTCACCTAGGAACTATACATGTAACAGTGAACAAAATCGGCAAAAATCCCTCCATACCATGGAATTTATATTTTCCCCACTCCTATATATATCAAATAATTTATAAGTGGAAATAATAACTTTCTAAAAAGATTTATTTATTTGATAGAGGACTAATAGAGGAAGGGGGGAGGGAAAGGAAGACAGAGAATCCTCAAGCAGACTCCCCATTGAGAGGGAAGCCTGAGTGTTGCTTGATCCCAGCACTCTGAGATCATGAGATGAGCTGAAACCAAGAGCGAGATGCTTAACCAAGTGAGCTATCCAGGTGCCCCAATACGAGCAGAAATAATAATTTTATGGAGGAAAGCAAGACAGGGAAGAAACTAGGAAGTGCTTGGGCAGGGGTAATGTAATTTTACATAATGGGGTTATTTAAGGTCATTGATAAGTTGACAACTGAGCAAAAACCATGAAAGAGATAAGGAAGTGAGACATGAGGATATTTATAGAAAGAGGTTGCAGGCAGGGAACTGCCAGTGCAAAGGCCCTGGGGCAGGAATATGACTGCCATGTTCCTATAGCAATAAAGCAGCCAGTATGATTGGAGCAAAGTAAGGCAGAGAACACAAGATAGGGTCAGAGAGATTATAGGGATGAGATCATGTGGACTTTGTTGGCCATTTGAAGGACTTAGGCTGAGATGATAAACAATTAGAGGGTTTTCAATCAGAGAATGATATAATTTGAATTATATTTTAATAGTACAACTCTGGTTAACAACAGCCAGTTACAGCAGCCCAGGTGGCTCAGCGATTTAGCACCACCTGCAGCTCAGAGCCTGATCCTGGAGACCTGGGATCAAGTCCCACACTGGTCTCCCTGCATAGAGCCTGCTTCTCCCTCTGCCTGTGTCTCTGCCTCTCTCTCTCTGTGTCTCTCATGAATAAATAAAATCTTTAAAAACAAACAAACAAAAACAACAGCCAGTTAGGTCAGAAGCAGGAAAAACAGAAAGTCATTGCAATGATCCAAGAAATTTTTTATTATTAAAAAAGTTTAGGCCTAAACAATTGGAAAGATGGAGCTGCCAGCTGACTACTGAGATAAAGAACACAGTAGAAGAAACAGATTCAGCGAGAAATGGAGGAGTGATGATTAGGAATTCAATTTCAGACTTGATAAATTCAAGGTTTCTATTAGTGCAGATGCTGATTAAGCAACTTTACATGTATAGAGTTGAAGGGAAAGATTCAAGCTACAATTTGTGTCATTGCCATATAAGATATTTAAAGCCATGAGACTGGGTGAGATCACAAAAGCAAGAGTGTACAAACAGAAATGAGAATTCCAGATCTGGAGAGAATGAGGAAGAACCAATAAAAGAGTCTGGAAGTGCCCAACATGGTGAGAGGAAAATCAAAGAGTATGAAGTCCTCAAATTCAAAATAGAAGGGTTTTAAAGGAAGGAGTGATGAATTATCAAATTATCAAATACAAGATAGGTCAAATAAGATAAAAGCAGAACTGACAATTTACTTAGCAATATGGGTAAAGGACTGTATTCTCCAAAAACAGTCACAGCAATATTTCAGCAGTATTTCACTCCCTATTCAGAGGCAGAGCCTATTTATCCTCCCCGTGAACCTATGAGTTTCTGACAGCCTTTATGAATAGAATACTATCGAAGTGACTTCTAAGACGGTCATAAAAGGCAATGGCACTTACACCTTTCTCTCAGAACACTCACCCTTACAAACAGATACCAGGCTGTAAGGAAACCCAAAATGGCACAAATGAAGAGACCAATGGGGAAACCCACATAGGAAGGAACTGAGGTTCCCAGCCCAAGGCTAACATGAACCATTGGACATGCACATGACCATTCTGATGATTCAACCCTCACACTCCGAGTCTTCTAAACAAGGACCTACATATTGTGGAACAGAGACAAGCTGTCTTGCTACATCCTGTCTGAATTCTTGACACAAAGAATTGCTGAGCATTATAAACCGTTGTTTTTACCTCTAAGTCTTGTGATAATTTGTCATAGTAATTTCATTGGAGAAAACACACAAAACTTAAAGCCTTTATAAGCAGTTTCAGTAGAGAGTGACCTGGGCAGCTCACTCAGTTGAGAGTCTGACTTTTGATTTCAGCTCAGGTCATATCTCAGGGTCTTAAGATCGAGCCCCACATCAGGCTCTGTGCTCAGCAAAGAGTCTAAGTGAGATTCTCTCTCTTGCAGGAGTTGCAAGAAAGAAAGAATGGGATTTATTTTATTTTTTTTTAAAGATTTTATTTACTTATTCATGAAAGACACACAGAGAGAGACACAGGCAGAGGGAGAAGCAGGCTCCATGCAAGGAGCCGGATGTGGGACTCGATCCCGAGTCTCCAGGATCACACCCCGGGCTGCAGGCGGTGCTAAACCGCTGCACCACCGGGGCTGCCCAAGAATGGGATTTAATATACATGGAAAGAAGTGGACTTGAGATCAAAGCATATATAGGTGATTCATTTTAATGGAAGGGTAAGCAGAACATTAGGGGCACATATATAGGTACACGAGTAGATGTGCTAATTGGATCTTAACTGAAGTTCTATTTGGACTGCTTCTCCTTTCTCTCTGGTAACTCGGGTCCTCAGTTGTGAATGAGAATGGGGAAAATCACAGGAGATTTAAGAAATACATTAAGAAATGTATAAAATAGATATAAAAGACAATGGGAAAGAATAAAAAATAGGATAATGAGGCAGCATTAAAGGCCCACTTGAGGGGATCCCTGGGTGGCGCAGCGGTTTGGCGCCTGCCTTTGGCCCAGGGCGCGATCCTAGAGACCCGGGATCGAATCCCACATCGGGCTTCTGGTGCATGGAGCCTGCTTCTCCCTCTGCCTGTGTCTCTGCCTCTCTCTCTCTCTGTGACTATCATAAATAAATAAAAATTAAAAAAAAAAGGCCCACTTGAGATTGTTACCAATCTAAAGTGAGACTAAAATATGGTTATTTTTTTTTTAAGATTTTATTTATTTATTCCTGACAGAGCGAGAGAGAGGCAGAGACACAGGCAGAGGGAGAAGCAGGCTCCAGGCAGGGAGCCCGATGTGGGACTTGATCCTGGGACTCCGGGATCACGCCCTGGACCAAAGGCAGACGCTCAACTGCTGAGCCACCAGGGATCCTTGGTTATGTTTTCTTCTATAATGTAGCAGCAAAGGTGCAGACAAAGACAAAGTGAAAGAATGAGTGTCTTTCAGGAATGAGTAACCACAGGAATGAGTAACTACTGTAAGACGGAGAATATAATCACTACAGGAAAAAAAGTCAAGAAAAAGAGAGGCCGTAGATGGATATTAAAATCAACATGAAGTATGACAGTACTGAGGAGGGCTGCAGTGAGCCAGGAGCTAAAAATCTTCAAGAAATGAAGGAGGATGATGTAATCTTGCAGGACGATTGCTGCCAGGGGAACAGTAGGTTTGATGGCATGAAATTCAAAGTTGGGACAAATTTATGGAAGTAGACAGGCCAAAAAAGAGTAACAAAGAGGTCTATCCCACAACACTGAATGCAAATCAGAATAATCCACTCCACCAAAATATTTATAATCATGTGGAACTTAAGTTTTATACCGTTTAATCAGACTTACCAACAGAGAGGTTTTAGATAACTTAGAGGAGATATGTCATGTCCACAGACTGAAGAACTCAATACTGTAAAGATGTTAATTCTCTCAAGTTGATCTATTAAATCTTAATCAAAACTCTAAAACCTTTTGTTTGTTTTAGTGGCATGTGACAAGCTAATTCTAAAGTTTATAATGGAAAGGTAAGGGGCCAAAAAAGCCAAGACTCTCATGAAGAAGATGAGAAGACTTGCTTTACCGCCAGATGTTAAACTTATTATAAAACTATACTAATTCTTATAGCGTGGAATTAGCACATGGATAGGCAAACTGAACAATGGAACAGAAAAAGAAAGCCTTTCCAGACTCACACATTTATGGACCTATGATAAAACAGAGGTGGCAATGCAAATTTTTTTTTTTTTTAACTTTAGTTATTTCAGAAAAAGAGAAAAAGATAGTGAGAGAAAGCACCAGCCAGGGTGGTGGGAGACAGGGAAAGGGAGAAGAAGACTCCCTATTCAGCTCCAATCCCAGAACCCCAGGATCATGACCTGAGCCGAAGGCAGACACTCAACCAACTGAGCCACCCAGGCGTCCCGGAGGCAAGTCAAATTAAAGGGATATAAGAACAACCCAAATCAGAGGATATTTCATGTACCAAATTGTCTGTCTTTTTTTTTCCATGTATAATTTGGTCTTCTATAAGAACTTACTCATTCCTTTTAATTAACTGCATAGTATTCAGGGACAGAGGATAGGGGATAAGTCTAGATATATACCTCAATCTTAACACTACCCCGGCATTCCTCAAAAAATCCAAAAACAGAAATGAGTACATGAGGAAAACATGGAGACTTTTTTTTTTTTGCTTGGACTGGAAAAAATATTTTTCTTTTTTTTTTTTTTTAAGATTTTATTTATTTATTCATGAGACACAGAGAGAGAGGCAGAGACACAGGCAGAGGGAGAAGCAGGCTCCATGCACGGAGCCTGATGTGGGACTCGATCCTGGGACTCCAGGATCACACCCTGGGCCAAAGGCACACTAAACCACTGAGCCACCAGGGCTGCCCTGGAAAAATATTTCTGACAAAACTAAATAAAATCTCTACAAAAATTCTTAAACTTCTTCATGGACAAAGATATCATTTAAAAGTTAAAATTAAAAAAAATAATAAAAAATAAAAGTCAAAATTTAATCTAACACCTCTTTAGTAAAACACCACTGTGGGAATAATAGAGCCAACTTGCTCAATCCAAAAGAAGAAAAAAGGAAAAAAAAAAAAAAGCTAAACTAAAAAAAGTTATCACCATAAGAGTCAGGACATCTCTTACCTTTGGAGGGAGGGAGAGAGAGAAGGCAGGGGAGAGAACTATGACTATTTTGTGCCAAATGAGAGACTTGTGAGGTGAATATCAAAGTTTTATATCTTGATCTGCATGGTGATAAAGGCATTTACCTCATAATAATTTATACAATTTATATTTAAGTAGGTTTTTTAATCTGTATGTTACTTTGCAACAAAAAGCTAAACAACAAAAACATTCCAATAGAAACGGGCAAAGGACATAGGAGGGGAATTAAAAAAATGAGAAATATCTTTTCAATATAGAAAAACACATTTCTTAACCTTACTTATAAGCCATAACAATGCAAACGGGGCGTGGGTAGCAAAGTCAGTCAAGCAGCACTCTCTTAGTTTCCACCTGGGTCCTGATCTCAGGGTCAGGAGATTGACTCCACATCAGGCTCCACACTGAGTGCAGAATCTGCTAAACTTTCTCTCTCTTCCTCTGCCCCCCACCTCCCACCTCACATACACACTCTCTCTCTCTCAAATATATCTTAAAATATATATATATATTAAAAAAAAGCACAAAATAAACAAGTGTTATTTTTCATCCAGACTAGCAATAATGAAAATTTTCATAAGAAACAATAACGATGGGATGCCTGAGTGGCTCAGCAGTTGGGCGTCTGCCTTTGGCTTAGGGTGTGATCCTAGTCGGAAGATCGAGTCCCATATTGGGCTCCCTGCAAGGAGCCTGCTTCTCCCTCTGCCTGTGTCTCTGCCTCTCTTTCTGTGTCTCTCATGAAAAAATAAATAAAATCTTAAAAAAAAAAGAAAAGAATATTGATAAGAGTGTTGAACAAGAGGCATGAACTGTTGGTAAACCAGTCACTTTGTAGTTTAATAAGCAATAACCATCAAAATTTTGTTTTTTTTTATTTTTATTTTTTTTCCCCATCAAAATTTTAAATACAATTATCTTCTGACCCTGAAATTCTATTCCTAGGAATAATCCTATGCATAGATACACTTGCTTTAGTCTATTTAGGTATGCTTATTACAGCATTACCCAAAAAACTTTTTGTGAACTCTAAATCAGACCATCTAGGTTTAAATCCTGGCTTCAATACTTACAAGCTGTGTGACCTGGAGCAAGTCAAACTGTGCCTCAGTTTCCTTATCTGTAAAATAAAGATGATAATACTACTTACCCCATAAAGTTGTTATGACAATTAAATGAGTTAATATGTATAAAGCTCTTAGAACTATACCTAGCACATAAAGAGCTATGTCATTACTATTAACATTACTATTAAGTATCTGAAGTTGCCTAGTAAAACTAAATAATTTATGCCATATTAAAACATGTTTGCACTAAATATCTTCTTTGCTATACATAAAAGATATAGTTAAGTTCACAAAGCCATAATCATTAACAATTTTAGAATATTTTTAAGCAAAAAAGGTCAAACATTATATACGTATTTGTTTTAAATATACCTTATCTTAAAAATTAAGAGCAAATTGACCTTTCCACACTTTGTAGAATACTAATCGGCAAAATACATTATGAGTATGCAAAAGAAATGTGAAATTTCTATGTGTGTGCAAGTGTATGGCTAGGTGTTCAACAAACTAGATGAAATGGCAACTCAATGTAGCATTAGAATACAAATAAATAGAAACATGTAAGAGTTCAACTTTCTCTCTTTCCTGCATTTTGTATCCTTAAATGTACCTTTCTGAAAAGAGAGAGCAAGTCAACCTTTTGAACATCTCAGTGTTTCAATTCCCATTTATTGAAGAATATTGCTATATTTAGGACACTATGCTATGCAAACTTAAAATAACTAATACCAAATTAAACTCATGCTATTATTGGAAAAAGACTAATATACATGACATAAACTAATAGAAAGTATCCATATAATTCTAAGATCAATGGAATCGAGTAGAGAGCCCAGAAATAAACCCCACACATACAGATGGTCAATCTACAACAAAGGGAGCCAGTAATATACAATCGGGAAAGAACAGTGTCTTTAATAAATGGTGTTGGGAAAACTGGATAGCCATATGCAAAAGAACCAAACAGGACCACTATCTGACACCTCACATAAATATTAATTCAAGATGTAGTAAAGACTTGAATATAAGACCTGAAACCACAAGACTCCCAAAAGAATAGGCAGTGATTCTCTGGGGATATTTCTGGGGGAGGGATTTGACACTGAAAGCTAAGGCAACAAAAGAAAAAAATAAACAAGTGTGAATTCACCATCTAAAAAGTTATGTTGGCAAAATGGGACGCCTGGGTGGCTCAGCAGGTGAGCGTCTGCCTTTGGGTCAGGGCATGACCCCGGAGTCCCGGGATCCAGTCCTGCCCTGGGCTCCCCACAGGGAGCCTGCTTCTCCCTCTGCCTGTGTCTCTCTCATGAATAAATAAATATAATCTTTAAAAAATACATAAATATATATGTATACATAAAAAGTTTCTGCACAGCAAAGGAAACCATCAACAAAATGAAAATAGAATGGAAGAAAATATTTGAAAATCATATATCTAATAAAGGGTTAATATTTAAAATATATTAGACCTCGGGCAGCCCAGAGGGCTTAGCGGTTTGGCACCTGCCTTCCTCCCAGGATGTGATCCTGGAGACCTGGGATTGAGTCCCACGTTGGGCTCCCTGCATGGAGCCTGCTTCTCCCTCTCCCTGTGTCTCTGCCTCTCTCTCTCTCTCTCTGTGTCTCTCATGAATGAATAAAATCTTTAAATATATATATATATATATATACCACTCAAAAGAAAAAAAAAAGTTCGAGTAAAAATTGGGTGGAGGCTCTGAATAGGTATTTTCCCAAAGAAGAAAGATAGCCAATGCGTACAAGCAAAGATACTCAACATCACTAATCATCAGGTAAATGCAAATCAAAACCACAGTGAGCACCTCCTACCTGTTAGAACAGCTATATTCAAAAAGACAAGAAATAATAAATCTTGATGAAGATATGGAGAAAAGGGCACCACTATGCATGATTGGTGAGAATGCAAATTTGAGCTGTCACTATGGAAAGTATTTTGGAGGTTCCTCAAAAACTTAAAAAAGAACCACCATATGATCCAGGAACCCCTCTCTGGGTATTTATTTGAAGAAAACGAAAACACTAAAAACACTAATTCAGAGATATATGCACCCATCATGTTCAAACCGCAGCATTATTTTGCAAGAGCCAAGATACATAAACAACCTCAGGGCAGGCTGGGTGCCTCAGCGGTTTAGCGCCTGCCTTTACCCCAGGGTGTGATCCTGCGGTTCTGGGATCGAGTCCCGCGTCGAGCTCCCTGCATGGGGCCTGCTTCTCCCTCTGCCTGTGTCTCTGCCTCTCTCTCTCTCTGTGTGTCTCTCATGAATAAATAAAAATATTAAAAAGAAAATGTTGAAGAATTAAAATTTATTTTAAAAAAAGGAAACCTTAGTATTCATAGACAAATGAATGGATAAAGGAAACACGGCACGTATGAACACACATACACACACAGAAATATTATCCAACCGTAACAACGAATGAACTCTTGCCATTCACAGTAACAAGGTTGGCCCTCAATGGCATTATACTAAATGAAATAAGTCACACAGAGGAAGATAATTACCGTATCATCTTGCTTATATGTGTAATTTTGATGGGAGAAAACATAAAAAACAAAGAGAACCAGGCTCGTAGATACAGAAAACAGATCGGTAGCTACCAGAGGCAGAGTGGGGAGAGGGCAAAATGGGTGAAGGAGGCCAGAAAGCACAAATTCCCAGTGCTTTCAAATTCGCAGACACAATAAGTCAAGACAACCTGACATGCAGCAGAGTGACTATGGTTAATACTGCGTTTGAAAGTTTCTAAGACAGGAGACCTCAAAAGCTCTCCTTGCAGGGGAAAGAAAAAAAAAATTCTCTGTGCACAGTGACAGCTGTTCACTATTCCCTAGACTTGCTGTGGCCATCATTTTGAAATCTTTTTGAAGATTTTTTTGAATCTTTTGAATTTTTCTTTTTTTCTTTTTTTTTTTTTACACAACAAAAGTTTACTTCTAGGTGTGGGACGTGGTTTCAAAAGTATGGTTTTGCATTTTTACAAAAACATGAATCTTCCAGAGCAAGAAAAATGCGGTAGCAGGCACATACCTAACCTAATTGATTTAAACACTCCTTACCACTAATTTCTACAACCTTGCGACTTAGGTTGAATGCCATGTCTTGCTAACCGCTCACTACTAGAGATCTTTTTAAAAATACACGTACTCTGAGCTCTCCACCATGGTAAAGAATCAAGTTCCACCTTGAGTTCCTTTCTTGTCCTCCAAAAGAAAATATTGATACAGACCAGGGAAGTGAAGTTAAGTAACACGAAAAAAATGGGGATTTTGAAAAGTAGAGACTAAATAAATAAATAAATAAATAGCCAATCATCACGTTCTCCACCTGAAACAAACACGGCTGACACGTGAACCACACAATACTGAACTAACTGTACAGGTCCACTTACACAAGGATCTTTTCTCTCCCCAATATATACACATAAATGTAGATTTCTTCCTTTAGAATTTTAATGATTTTGTCTCCAGCTTGACTTTATGGAGGAAAATATGAGTATACAATACGCACAAAAAAAATGTGTTAACAGATTATGTTATGGGTAAGGTTTTGGACCAACAGTATTGGTAAAGCTTTTTTTTTTTTGGGGGGGGGGTCAAACCTATAAGCAGATTTGCACTGGGCGGGGACGCGGGGGGTTCTGCGCCCCTAACCACTCTGCCCATCCATCCCTCGCTCAAAGGTCAACCTCAGGGCAGTCCCCGGGTGGCTCAGCGGTTTAGCGCCGCCTGCAGCCCAGGGCGTGACCCCGGAGTCCCAGGATCGAGTCCCGCGTCGGGCTCCCTGCGTGGAGCCTGCTTCTCCCTCTGCCTGTGTCTCTGCCTTGCTCTGTGTGTCTCTCATGAATAAATAAATAAAATCTTTAAAAAACAACCAAAGGCCAACTGCATTATGTCATGCATCAATTAGACCTCAATTTTAAGGGGGCATAAAAAAACGGTACATGTTATCACGTTACGTTTCTTTCACGATTTTTTTCTTCCTTTCTCTCTTCCTTCCTTTTTGTTCACTTATTTTTTTTTTTAAATAAGTCCGGAAGGCCACGAAGACCAGGCTGATGGCGGAAGGGTGAAGGGTCCCAGCAGGGGCACCTCGGTTCCTTGGCCCGGCTGCCCCGTTCTCCCTCCCTCTGTCTCTCTCTCTGTCCCGGGAAACCAGTAAGAAGCGCTCACCACCTCTTCGCCGTGTGAGACAATCGAGCAGCTCAGACAACACAGCTCGGGAGCTCGAAGGCAGGCCCGCAAGTTAACCGGCTGCCTCAATTCCCGGCTCCCCGGGCATCTTCCCCCGACCCGGGCTGGAGGGCGGGGCTGCTCCTAGGGCTGGACGCCGGGTAGACAACTCCCGCCGAGGTAAGGGTCCCAGCAGCGGGGGCCCAGCGGCCACCTGCCAGGCCCGGCGGAGGTTTCTAAGCGTCCAGGTGCTCTCTGCCCGCGCCCTGCTCTTACCCCAGCGCAGCGTCCGTGTCTGCGGGTCCGCTCGGCCCGGCGCCCCTTGCGCGCGCTGCTCGCTGATTGGACTCGCGCTTACCCACCGCAGCCAATCCCGGGGCTCGCTCGGCCGGTGACGCGCGAGCTGCGCCGCCGTGACGATTGGCGGGAGGACTGTGCGTCGCGTTGTCGCGCCTTTTCTGACGTTCCGGCCACTATGGCGTCGGAAGGTGGCGGCGACTCGCAGCTGCGGAGGCGAAGGCGCCGGGAATCGGAGGAACCGGAGAAAACGGAGCGCAGCGAGAGAGAGCTGACAGTGGTAGTGGCGGTGGCCCAGGAGAACGAAGAGGGGGATGAGGAGCGCTGGGTCGGGCCTTTACCTGTAGAGGCGACGCTGGCCAAGAAGAGGAAAGGTAGCTGGAGACATAGGCCCAGGGCGAGCTGGAATCGGCGGGCCCCCGACCCGGAGCTGGCGGGGCCGCCCGCAGCCGCAGATGCTGTTTGGTTGCGGGGCGTTGCACCCTCAGCACCGAGGGTCGTCTTCTGATGTCTGGCCTCCCGGTACTCGCACGACTTGGGCTGAGCGCAGCGTCTCTCTGTTAACCGCGGACGGCGCTCCTCAGGGTGCGTTGGGAGAATGTGTTGCGGCGGATGCTAAGGCTCACGCAGGCCGCTCCTCGGCCACGAGCCGGGCGGTGTCGTGGCGTCCCTGACGGCGGGGAGCCCAGGCCGGAATCTGTGCCCGGCTTTCCGGAAGGCCGTGTAGCTCAGGGAGGCTGTGTGTTGGGGCGCGGGGGGCGGGGCGGGGGTCTGTGCCTCTCGAGAGTGGATTGTGGCGGGAAGGTCCGCAGGATTTTGATCCTGACCCTGCCAGGGCCGGGTCTTCGGACCCCTGAGAGTCACCGGAGTTCCCCGGATCGCAGATTTTTTTCACCTAAAACCAGCGGTCTGTGGTTTTCGAGCCCTAGGATTCCCCAAGGCCCGAAGGGTTTTCCTCCTTGCTCGGAGCAGTGACCCAAGTTTTCGTCGAACCAAAAGACCCGGGAGGGACAGAGGTTGAATGTTTATTTCCAGCGTTGTTGTAATAAAACGGCTTGTCGTAAGCATGTTAGGGCCATTAAAACACGATGTTCCTGAAGGGTCCGATCTTCCTTTATCACTCTCTCGGCTTCGCGCCCTGGACTGATTCCTTGTTATCTTCAAAACAAGGTCCGAACTCCCTAACGTGACTTGCTTCGTGATAGGATCTCTCCTGACCTCGCCCGCGCGTTTCCGCTGCTTCTCCGTCCTGACTTTGTGTGTGTCTGACTTACTCTCTACTCCAGCCGTATTAAAACACTTGAGAATGGGGGCATGCTCTTTTTTTGTTTTTGTTTTTTTTTTTTTTTTTTTTCTTATTTGGCAGCCTACCAGGACATGATGGTGTGTACCCGAAATAATTTTCACTCTGCTAACTTGCTCAGCTTTAGCATCCATCTTTCGCTATCACCACCTCTGGGAAGCCTGTGACTTCTCCAGGCCAGGCTGGGTTTCTAAAAAAAATAAAAAAATAAAATAAGAATTTCTTAAAAAGAAAACAAAACATTGATCATAACTGCCGGTAATATTTAACAGCTGAATTTACAGATGTCATGTATCCAAATTTTGAAGAAGCAACTTTTTTGAACATTGTACATTGATTGACACCTTTAAAGTACATTATCTTTTTTTATTTTTTACATTATATTTTATTTATCCATGAGACACAGAGAGGCAGAGACACAACACAGGCAGAGGGAGAAGCAGGCTCCCTGCAGGGAGCCCTATGGGGACTGGATCTCGTGACCCCGGGGTCACGGCCTGAGCCGAAGGCAGTTGCTCAACCACTGAGCCACCCAAGCGTCCCAAATTATCTTTTTTTATTTTTTTTTAACTGTTAGGTCTTTCTCTTAAAAATTTCCATAGTAACTTCCTACATTTTACCATTATTCACATGGTTGAAATGTTTTTCTCCACTGTCAAAACAAAGTCCATTCCTACTTTACTTCAGTGCCTGCCACAGTGCTTTGCGTGTAGCAAAGTGTTCAATTAGTATCTATTAAATGAAAGAATATGACAAAGTTAATGCTCTTATTGTTGCATTAGAATATTTCTGTATGTTTTTTCTCATGGAAAAATGAAAAAAGTGCTGATACTAGTATTGAGACACAGATCTTACAAGACTTAATTTAGTTTGAGACAGAGAAAAATAATTAGGTGTGAAAATGTTTGCCCTTAAGATGCTCATTGTATTTAACCCAATCAATAGTGTTGAGTTTGAAGAAAAAAATGAAATTTAAAAACATGTATGAAATATTAGATGCCTGGGGAGCTCAGTGGTTTAGCTCCTGCCTTCGGCTCAAGGTGTGATCCTAGGTCCTGGGATCTAGTCACCCATCGGGCTCCCTGCATGGAGCCTGCTTCTCCCTCTGCCTGTATCTCTGCCTCTCTCTCTCTGTCTCTCATGAATAAACAAAATCTTAAAAAAAAAGAAACGTTAGAAAAATATCTTTGAAGATTTTATCTAAAAAGACAGGAGTGGGGCACCTGGCTGACTCAATTGTAGAACATGTGACTCTTGATCTCAAGATTCAAGCCCCATGTTGGGTGTAGAGATTACTTAAAATCTTTTAAAAAAATTAAATGACAGGTGTTTGATAATGTATTTCTAGAATTAGAACCATCCTGTTTAACATGTTCTTTGGACACTGGATTTTTGTATTCATTTATATGCAGACATTATAAATTATTATATGACACAACCTTTAATTAAATGAATGGTTTCTCAAAGACGGAATTATATGTTCTTCATGCCCATGTGCCTTGTAACCTATTTTGTTTTGAGTAAATACCTATTAAATAGATTCGTTGTTGAATATTCATTGTTGAATAGCTTTTCAACAAGTAAACAGCACAACAAATGTGTATCAGATAGGATTAGCTACATATTACATAAAGACCCAGAATGTCAATGATATTAAAAAAGAGGTGTGCTGCTTTCATGTGTAAAAAGAGTCCCAAAGTAAACGGTCCAGGATTGTTATAGAGGCTCCAAAGGGACCTAGGCTCTTTCCAGCTCTCTGCCCTAAACATCAGTAGGATATGGCCCTCATCTTTGTCCTGAGTGGTTATTAAAGTAATAGTGCTGTTATCCCAGTTCTAAGTTGTAGGACTGAGGAAGAGAAGAACACCTTTTGAAGGACACTCCTTCGCGGGCACATACTTCTCATTGATACATGGTCACACCTAACTCCGGAGATGAGAAATGTCCTCTTACGGCTGGGTGTCAAGATCCCCATATAAAAATGGGAGTTTCCGTTACTAAAAATGAAGGAGAAAGCATAACTTTGTGTCTGCTATACATTAGTTATGAAAAACTAGGAAACATCCCATAGTTAATGTAGCAACTTTTTACAGTCCTGTTTGGCTGTCACTGGACTATTTTATTAGATACACATATAAAACAATAGATACACATGTAATGTCCATTTTTGCTTGTAAAATTGTTCATAGCTCTTGTAATCAGTATTTCCTCAGATTAACAGTTACAAGTGTTTTGCCCCTGGAAAAAAATTGAGAAATCCATGATTTTCTCAGCTCTAAAAATCTATTTAGTGTTTTATCATGTTTACCTGCTCTAATCCCAGTATCAGTGACTTCAAAGAGGATTAGTGCCTTACAGATAAACAGATATAAGTGGCCACTGGCCTCTTGTTACTTATTTAAATTAGAAGTAATAATTGGCTCTACATGGTTAGAAAAATGGTTGTAATACTTTTCATAAAACTTAAGATTTTTGTTTTTAATGGAACCTTCATATGAAGCTAGAATCAATCACTCAGTTCTTTAGTGCTGGGGACAGTTTTTTAAGCTTCTTTATAATGCCTGAGAACCTGTCATGACTAAATAACGGTGCTATCCACGTACAAGGGATATAATAGGCACTGAATTTTTTTTTTCTGCTACATATGAGTTGAGAGAAATTTAAGAAAATCTAGAAGAAAATACATAATAGAATTGAGAAAATCTTAAAATTCAAAATAGTATATAGTTCCAGTTAAAAATACGTTTTTCTTTTTTCTTCTCAGTTCTAGAGTTTGAAAGAGTCTATCTTGAAAATCTCCCCAGTGCATCTATGTATGAACGCAGTTACATGCACAGAGATGTTATCACCCATGTGGTATGCACCAAGTAAGTCTATCACGTCTTTTTAATTTTTTTCTGAAAAATTTGTTTTATAAAAATGCTTCAGTATTAAGCAGGATTTGTGGCAGTAACTAGGATACTGTGGATTTCTGCTTAACGTCACAGGTTCTGTAATAGTTGGAGTTCAATAAAGGCCTATATATTCTTTCATACAACAAATGCATTCAAGAGAATATGTGTGAAGTACCTGATGTATTCTAGTTTCAATAAATGGTTTCTATTTTTATATACCTTACAAGGGAGACTATTCTGTATAAAATCTTTTCGATACAAAATAAACATACTTTGAACTTTGCATATACAGAAATGATACATTGAGATTTAATGTTTTATCAACTTCTGAAAACCAGTGCATTTTCCTTGTGAAAACACTGCCTATAGGGTGATTTTAGCATTAAAGAGCCCTCATGGTCTAGTGATTTCTGGTGAAATTTCTTTTCCTTTTTTTTAATGTCAAGTGCTAGCTCATTTCTGATTTCAATTCTTGGGATTAAAATTAGTAACACAGCAACTATTAATGATATTCACAACAAAACTACAAAATTTGCAATAGTGGTCTTCATAAAGGAAGATATCTTTTAATGCCCTATTTTGAAAGAGAGTCTCAAGAATGATTGCTTTGAGAGTACTAAGTAATTCATAAATCTGTTTTACAAGTTAACTTTTATAATTTTATATATGCAGGACAGACTTTATTATTACTGCCAGTCATGATGGACACGTTAAGTTCTGGAAGAAAATAGAAGAGGGAATTGAATTTGTTAAACATTTTCGTAGTCACCTGGGTAAGAATTTCACTTTGTGTTTGTGTGCCTCTCTTGTATTGGTTAAAAGTCTCTTTTAAAATGCTGTTTTTTTCTTTGAATTATGTATATTTGTTTCATTGGTATTTACTAGAGTGTTTTAATTTGATTTATTTAAATAGGAGTTATTGAGAGTATTGCAGTTAGCTCTGAGGGAGCATTGTTCTGTTCTGTGGGTGATGATAAAGCAATGAAGGTGTTTGATGTAGTGAACTTTGACATGATCAATATGCTGAAGCTTGGGTGAGTCTTTTAAAGTATATATTTTTTTAACTTAGTGAAATTTTTAAACGTCATTTTGTAGATATTTCTAAACAGAATATATTGCCATTCTATTAAAAATGCCTTTGAATATTGCTTGGGAAAATAATATATGAATCCTTGTTATGTTCTATTTTGAGGCTTCCTCTGTGGTTTTGTCATTTTAATCATTGTCATTAATCATTCTGTTGTGGTTTTGTCATTAATCTTTAAACAGCATCAAAAAAAAATTTTAAACAGCATCATAACAAGAATTAATTATATCCATTTAATGTTACTTAATGAATTAACAAGGATCCATCATGTCTGATATACTGGTATTTAGAATTAACTTCCCTGCTGTGTTTATTGCAGTTTTATGTATTGTGCCCTATAAGGCTTATGTACATTTTGGAATTGAGGTGATTTGTTGGTGATTTTAAATTATATCGATACCCAGACTATGTGGTTAGATTGTACAGGAATGAGAGGAATATTTTAAGCATGTCTTTCCTAGATACCATACTAATTTATATACATCTAAGTGAATGTCAGCCTGAAAGTCATAGCATCGTCAGAAAGTTTTGGGACTTGTCTTAGGTCAGACTGCCATTACAAAAGACTGTAAGCTAAGAGGCTTAAACAGTAGAAATTTATTTTCTGAGTCTGGCGGCTGGAAAGTGCAAGATCAAGGTTCCAGTGGGGTTTAATTTGTGGTGAGGACTCTTGGGGGACAGGATGTAGTGAGGAATGGTATCTTGCTCTTTCCCTTCTCAGAAGGCCACAGGCCTATGGAATTAGGGCCCCACATTTATGATGTCATTCAACTTTAATTCCCTCCTAATTATCTTCAGATAGGATTACCTTGGGTAACTGCAACATATGAATGGTGGAGGGAGAAGAACAACAGTTCATTACATAACAGGATTTCTTTTGGAATTTCCTTCAAAACCAGTTTATGAGCCACTAACGGAAATCAGTCTCGTTACTTATGGTCAGAACTTATTTTTGACTAGAAATGGAAGTATCTTTTGGTTATTTATCCTATTCTTCTGCTTTGTTTACCTACACTTTAGCTGTTTTTAAAAATTAAATCTATTCATAAATGTTGAACCTTTGCCACCTTTGAGGATATAGAAAGAATGTTTTGGGTTTTTTCTAAAGTTCTGCTAGAAATTCTAAAAGAGAAGTCCCGAAAAAGTTTTGAGCATCAACACCAACATTGGAATGCCTGTTTAACTTCTCAAACTGCCTAGAAAGAGACAACACTCATTTGAGTGTGTAAGTTTGGTGTATTGATTAAATCTGTCCAGTTTTTTTACCTTTGTTCATCAGGTGGCATGTTCCAACTTCATAGTTTTAAGATCAAGTTACTAATGAGAATGTGATATCAAAATGTTTTTCTTTTGATCACAGTCATAGCTAAAATATTTTGATTTTAAACATTTCAAAAACGGATTTATCGAGTACACTATTACATGCTAACCTGTTTTTAAAAGTAAGTTATATATAGACTAAGATATAGACAGAGGTCCAAAAGGCAATGTCTTGGAATATTTTAAGGCTCAGATTTGTTTAGGTTTTCTTGTCTACCCAAGAGAAGTAAATGATCTGTTAACATGCACTTCTCTTTGTGGTTTGATAAATCCTCAGAAGTTATTACCATTACATTAATGAGATCAGAAAGAGAAAAATTAGTAGCTTTTCTTAGCTGTTCATCTCCATTTTCTGTCTCTGCTACTTTTGAGCACGGAATCCAAAACTAGCTAAATCATTGGCCAGGATTTTTTTTTTTTTTTTTTTTTTTTAATTTCATGACAGATACAGAGAAAGAGGCAAAGACACAGGCAGAGAGAGAAGCAGGCTCTTTGCAGGGAGCCCGACGTGGGACTTAATCCCGGGACTCCAGGACCATGCCTTGGGCCGATGGCAGGTGCCAAGCTGCCAAGCTACCCAGGCGTCCCTTGGCCAGGATTTTTTTTTTTGGTGGTGAGGGTGGATAAGGATGCTTACTTGTATCTAACTCTTTTTCCCCTTGATTCTTAAATATTTTAGCTATTTTCCTGGACAGTGTGAGTGGATCTATTGCCCAGGGGATGCGATATCTTCAGTTGCTGCTTCTGAGAAGAGCACAGGAAAAATTTTTATTTATGATGGTCGAGGAGACAACCAGCCACTTCATATTTTTGACAAACTCCATACGTCACCTCTTACTCAGATACGGCTGAATGCAGTTTACAAAGCAATAGTGTCTTCTGATAAATCTGGAATGATTGAATACTGGACTGGGCCTCCTCATGAATATAAGTTCCCCAAAAATGTGAACTGGGAATATAAAACTGACACAGATTTATATGAATTTGCCAAGTGCAAGGCTTATCCAACCAGTATATGTTTTTCACCTGATGGGAAGAAAATAGCTACTATTGGTTCTGATAGAAAAGTTAGAATTTTCAGATTTTTGACTGGAAAACTCATGAGAGTCTTCGATGAATCACTAAGTGTAAGTGCAATATAAATTTAATGAATATTTTTTTTTCTAAATGTCTTTATTTTGTCCTATTTCTTAAAAGATATTTTTTCAGGATGTAGATAGTTACATTGATGATTGTTTTCTTTTAGCACATTGAAGATGTTATCCAGCTGTCTGCTGTCTTTCAGTGTTATTCCTTAGGTTTATGATATGATATCTTTTTTTTTTGATATGATATCTTTTGAGCCAATTATTCATGTATTCATAGTGACTGTGTTTCTAGTTTAGTTTTGTTTCTAAGTTCATCTTCTGAATCTTCTCAAAACTCACCCTAGGCACCCTTCTCTTAACCCTGTTCACTCGTGCCTGTTCTATGACTATTCTCAAATTGATTTTTCCAGCTTTCTATTATGAGCAGAGCTGGTGCTATCATCTTTTTTGTTTTGTTGTTGTCATTTTGTTTTGTTTTGTTTTGCTGTCTACATGAATGGCACCAAATCCATCTTTTTGCACAAACCAGAAACGTGAAGTCATCCTTATCTTCATAACTTTTTCCTTACCCCTCTTTTTAATTCATCACGAATCCTGTCAATTTGACTTTCTAAATATGCTTTAAATTTATCCATTTCCTTTTAGCACAGCTGTCACTACCATAGCTCATGATCTTTTGCCTGGACTAACTCATGGCCTACTGCCTATGTTCTGGCTTCTTCCTAATCTGTTTTCCTTGCTGTACCCAGAGAAATTTCTTTAAAGTGCGTGTCTGATCATGTCATTTTTGAACCTTTTAGTGACTTCTTGTTGTTCCTAGGATCAAGGCCAAATTCATGGCCTGCCTCATTGTGGCCTTTGCCTACCACTTTAGCCTACTGTAATTCACCTTCCTCCCTACCTCTTACTCTAGCCATTTAGGCCTTCTTTCAGTTTCTTGAACATGCTCCCACCAAAGAGCCTTTGCATATGCTTTACCTGCTACCTGGAGTCACCCCTCCCCGATTCCATTACCTGTTGAACTCATGCTTCAAATCATATTGAAAGGGTCACTCCCTGTAGAAATTCACTGTTTATCTAATGTAGGGCTTTTTTTTTTTTTTAAGATTTATTTATTTATTTTAGAGAGAGTGAGAGAGACTAAAGCACAACTTGAGCTGGAGGGGGTAGGGACAGAGGGAGAAAATCTTCAAGAAGACACTACCCTTGCTCAGCATGGAGCCTGATTCGGGGGCTCTCACCACCCATGAGGTCACAACCTAAGCCAAAACCAAGAGTTGGCTGCTTAACTGACTGAGCCCTTAGGACAGCTTTTTTAATGTGACTCAATACTGCTCTGTTTATTTTCTCTTAGAGCATTTGGTATGGTCTTACTTTTGACTAATACATATCCAACCCCTCATAGATTAAACTTACGTGATCTCTGATCCCTTATCTGTTTCGGTTCATGTTTGTATCTCCAGCATTCTACTTGACACATAATTAGTTACCGAGAACTCGTTAAAGCATGTGGTTGTAGAATAAGAGTTTCTATCCATGCAAAGTTAACTTTTTTGTGGAAATGTGGGTCTCATCACCGGTTTTCCTCAAGTGTTCTCTAACTACTAATGGTATGTTGAGTCCTCTAAGAGTCTGTGGGTTGAACCTTTATAGCAGTAACATTTATTGTATGACAGTGTCAATTCTATAGTCTTAGTAGGGACCAATTTGTATTACATTCCCTACACATTAAGGTCTCAAATTCTATTATTCTTATTAGTGACACTCTTGTTGATTGGCAAGGGGCAATAAGTTGGGTGGATTATCTGCCTGAAGTAGTATGAATCCAGACAAATGTGAAGATCTGCTTGCTGGTCAAGTCATTCTCATGAGTCATTTTCTTGGTGGAAGAGAATAGCTTTCCACTATACTTTTAAGGAAAGGAGAAAACTTTTTTGTGATGGGTTCTTTTTTAATGGTGGCCAGTAACTACATACTAGTTTAAATATAACTTAAAGGCTCTCTACCAGCTTGCAGCTCCTCGGAGATTCCTTAGAAAAAGAAATATTTAAAAAAACAGTCTCTGGATATAAATCTCTTAACACGAATACTCTCAGCTGTTCAGTCCACTCTTATTTCTTCATTGTTGTCTTCAACATTTGTCAAAGTCAAAGGGCTTAGATGATAAGAGTAGTCAGTAGTAAGGCTTATTGACAGAGGTTGAGATTCAGAATATGAGAGATTACAAAAAAAAAAAAAACCCAAGTACATTAGTTAGAATTCTAGTGAGTAGTAAATGTATGGAATCTCACAGTTAATAAGATATGCATAAGCTGCATATAGCTGAATTGTGTATCACAGAGGCTCTGGTATTAAGGCTAGAATATGTAAAAAGATACCAATGTACTTATCAGGTTGGATTAACACTTATGAAACACTCATATACAGGCAGAGGGCTATCTACAAATCTTTTAAGTCCTGAAAAATGAATCTTCTCAGGAAACTCGGGTGGCTCAATCAGTTAGGTATCTGCCTTCAGTTGAGTTCATGATCTTGGGATTGAGGCCCATATTGGGCTCCCTGCTCAGGGGCCAGTTTGCTTCTCCATCTTCCTCTCCCTCTGTGATCTCTCTTGCTTTCACTCTCTCTCAAATAAAAAAAAATCTTGAAAGAAAAAGAGAAAGAAAAGAAAAAAGAAAAGAAAGAGAAAGAAAGAAAGAAGAAAGAAAGAAAGAAAATTAATCTTCTAACAAAATAATTGCTACAAAAATGTAGTCCAGTATCTAGGCTATTTGTGGCATAAGACTAAGCAATTACCTGGATCCCTGGGTGGCGCAGTGGTTTAGCGCCACCTGCAGCTCAAGGTGTGATCCTGTAGACCCAGGATTGAGTCCCGCGTAGGGCTCCCTGCGTGGAGCCTGCTTCTCCCTCTGCCTGTGTCTCTGCCTCTCTCTCTCTCTGTCTCTCATGAACAAATAAATAAAATCTTAAAAAAAAAAAAAAAACCACTTATCAGTCCCAGAGACTGGAGACAAGAAATCCTAATGAGTAGGCTTTTTTAATGACCAGGCTTTTTATCTGACCTATAAGACCTTTGCTTCATGTTGTTCCCTAATACACATACCTCCTTTTGTTTTTTGGAGTTGTGTACATTGTTGTTCTTTCCGTATCTAGAAGAACGGAATTTCCAGTTAATGCAGGCATAAAAAAAAATTAGACTGGACATAAGCCTGGTTCCTTTTCGTCTCCAATGGAGAGCTACTTTTGAATTCTGCTGCTTGATGCCCTAAATGTCTGGAAAACTGAATGAAAGATCAAATTTTGGGGAAGCCTGTGGTATGATAATGCATAATAATTATGTAAACCTTTATGAAAATTATTTTAAATAATATCTTTTAATAATATCTTTTCTGAAGATAAGAAAACCAAATAGCAAAACTACAGAGCACTCATAAAAATAGTCATCTACACGAAGACACATTTACCTAATAATAATCTGTTTGGGCTTTCTGTAAAAATAACTTGAAACATTTTCTAAAATGTAATGAAATTGTTATAAATTAGTGAAATAATACGAATTAATTCATTCAACAACAATTGAGTGCTTGTTACATTATGTCAGGCCCATGATCCCTGTCTATAGTTGCATTATCCAGTATAATAGCCACTAGCCACATGTGGCTGTTGAGGACTTGATATGTGGCTAGTCCAAACTGAGATGGGTGAAAGTATAGAATACACACAGGATTTAAAAGACCTAATATGAGAAATATAGAATGTGATATATCTCAATTTTTTTTTAAGATTTTAAGTAGTCTCTACACCCATCATGGGGCTAGAACTTGAAACCCTGAGATCAAGAGTCACATCCTCTACCAACTGAAGCCAGCCAGGCGCCTCATCTCAATTTTTTAATATTGCTTAAAGTTTAAATGATTATATTTTGGATATATTGGGTCGAATAAAACATTATTAAGACTAATTTCACCTGTTTCTTTTCTCATTTAAGTAGCTAATTGAAAATTTAAAATTATATGTGTGGTTTGCTTTATATTTCTATTGGAAGGTACTAGTCTGTGGCTTATAAAAGGCAGCAGATATAGTTTAAAAGGAGAAAACAGTAGGTATATTAACTTTTTTGTAATTAGAACCAGTTAGTGTAAATACTATTTTTTAATACTATAATAATTTATTTTTTAATAGATTCCACCTTAAAATAACACTTAAGTACACAAACTTTCAGTGGCTCTTAATGTATACTGCACTACTATTTAAATTGTCATTCCTTTTATCATGTAGCTTTTTTGTTAATAAATGGTTTGCTTCCTAGATGTTTACTGAACTGCAGCAGATGAGGCAACAGCTACCCGACATGGAATTTGGCCGACGAATGGCTGTTGAACGTGAGTTGGAGAAGGTGGATGCAGTAAGATTAATTAACATAGTTTTTGATGAAACTGGACACTTCGTGCTGTATGGGACAATGCTAGGCATTAAAGTTATAAATGTAGAAACAAACCGGTAAGCTTTAACGTTTTTTAAAAGTGCATTCATTTATGGGGGACCATTTCCTCCTTCAGGGAAACAATGGGAGTTTTGTTTGTTCCAAGACAAGTGGAATGGTCCCAAATGTCTAAACTTAACCAAATGTTTTGACTGGATTTTTCTGTGGTCTTTTGGTTGTTTATAATCTTATGTAAAAAGTTTCCACTTGTGTTTGTAGAAGAAATGGAAAAAAGATATGCATAGTTTCAAGTTGGGTTTTTTTTTTTTTTAACAAGTTTCAATCTCTCTTTTGCTTATTGATTTAAATTAGCCTGGTTCATGTTAAATGTTGCCAAATATTTTAACCACAGAATTCAGCATTACATCCTGCTAGACATAAAATCAGAAGTTAAAATGCATGAAACCACAATAAGCCTTTTGTGTAAACAGTCCATTTGGTTTTAGTACAAAATAGCTACAATCAGATACTATCACTGAATGTAAATGAAAAGAACTTCAAGTATATTTTAAAGGGAAAAAAAATCTAGTGCTGTGCATTCTCACATGTAAACAAATTTATATTGTAGTTCTTGGCAGTATAGAATCTTTGAAGGCTTGCAGAAAGATTGAAATAATAGAGATAGGTTAAAACTATATGACTGAATGATTGTATTTTTTTAACCTGAAAATTCCAGCCAGTTACCAATTTAAAGTCACTGTTTTGGGGGGAGAGAGATAGAGAAACACTTTTTTTTAAAAAACTTTCACTTATTCTTTTATACAAAGGTAAAGGATGAAGGATAGTTGATTCCTACCTTTTAACTATAAAGGTTTTATAATTGGAGTTCATTCTGATAATTTTATTGTATAAAACATTGTGTTTTCCAGGTGTGTGCGCATCTTAGGCAAGCAAGAAAATATCAGAGTGATGCAGTTGGCTTTGTTCCAGGGAATAGCTAAAAAACATCGTGCTGCAACTACCATAGAAATGAAAGCATCTGAAAACCCCGTTCTTCAGAATATTCAAGCTGACCCAACAATAGTTTGTACATCTTTCAAAAAGAACAGATTTTATATGGTATGCGGAAATACTAGGAAATAGACCTTAATTCTTCCAGTTTGGTTGGAGCTTTATTTTCTTAGCTTGTGCTTTCAACTGAAGAGAATGTTGGCAATAATAGCAGACTTTCTAAACAACCAGAATACCATCTTAAAACGTTAATATTGTAGAATTTTTAACTAGGACTTGAATTTGTACTGTTTTCCCTCCTGTTTTGAAATTTTTTCAACCTGGTTTCTAAAACTATTTGTGTTGTCTAAGATGTTAGGAAGTAAGTGGTTATGGTAATAATTGCATCCAAAATAGTTTTCAGTATGGGGTTTTAAAATTCTCCTGAAAAGGATTATTTTTCATCTTTTATTCTGAAACATAATTTATCCTGAACTTGCACACTGCCTCCTCTAAGCACATTTCTTTTTATTACCTTTTAACTCCCTTTTAATAATGCTACTTGAAAAGTGTGTATTCCTGAGGAATTACTTTTTTCTACTGCACTGCAAGTACTTCTCCTATTAACTAACATTGTGCTCAGAATCAAACTACCAAGCAGCTAAAAGTAGCAGTGTCCTAACCATTGAGCCAAGCAGTAAAATCTCAAATATGAAGACCTCTACCCTACCATTCTATCCTCCACACTGCAGTCAGAGACTTTCTAAGTCCCAAATTTGGCAATTTCTTTGCCTAAAATCCTTTAATGGCTCGTCAGCTCTCAGCTGGCTCTTCTACCTATCTTTCTTCATTTTTAGTTCATTTGCTACAGTGTGCTAAACTTGAACTCCTTTGCAGTAGTTAATTGTCCTTTTTTTATTCCTCAGTGCATTTACACAAGCTGTTACTTCTGCCCATCACACACCTGTCCCCAGTCCCTGCTTTTACTAGGTCTCAAATTGGCAGCCTTCTCTTGACATCAAGTCTGAGTAGGTATGTCTGCTTGTGCAGTGTGTGTCACAGTCTTTGGAATAATTCCCTTTTTTTTAAATCTCTGACCCTGTCATCTCCTCCTTAATATAAAATTCTCCAGTACAGGGCATTATATTTTCTTCACTATTCACAAGGTTTGGTAAAGTGGCTCATTATAGCATACTCATTCTTTCGTCTGATATATTGTAAGCAACTATGATGCTATTCAGCTTATTGATTGATTGATAAATGTAGGAAATAGTTTATCCCATCCAAACTTTTCTTTTTTAAAAAAAGATTTTATTTATTTATTCAGGAGAGACACAGAGACAAAGAGAGAGGCAGGGACACAGGCAGAGGGAGAAGCAGGCTCCATGCAGGGAGCCTGTTGTGGGACTCGATCCCGGGACCCAGGATCATGCCCTGGGCCAAAGGCAGGCGCTAAACCGCTGAGCCACCTAGGTTTCCCTAATCCAAAGTTTCAACAATTGAAAAGTTTCTTTCAGTTTTCCCAATATCCTAAGGTATCCTGAAATTTCTACTTCACTCAAAATTCTGCTTATTGAAATAATAACAATTATTAATATGTGTATAGTACTTTCTACATGTTGGGCACTGTTCTCTAAACATTTTATATCCCTTCATTTAATCTTAACAACAGGTACTATTTTGAAGTAGTTATTATTATCCCTATTTATTTATTATTTTTTAAAGATTTCATTTATTTATTCATGAGAGAGAGAGAGAGAGAGAGGCAGAGACACAGGCAGAGGGAGAAGCAGGCTCCCTGCAGGGAGCCCAACCCAGGACTTGATTCTGGGTCTCTAGGATCATGCCCTGGACTGAAGGCAGCACTAAACAGATGGGCCACCGGGGCTGCCCTCTTATCCCTATTTAAAAGGAAGAAATGAATTTACTTTCCCAAATTGTATAAACTACTAAGTAGCGGAGCTAGAATTCAAACCCAGGAAATCTAAATAGTGAAAAGTAAGCAGCAGGTGACAGGTTATGATGTAATACCAGGCAGAAGCAGAAAGCTATCCCAGAAAACTGTATCTTGTTAAATGTGTACCCAAAAAGAAATTTAACCCCATTTGAAATCATACATACATCTTCATTAAATGGATTATTTCATTAGACAAGTGTAAAAATAACTGCGTTACACATCCTGTAATAGGAAGTGATTCCTAAAATAAGGTTTTACTCTGATGTGAATTTTCTTTTCTCAAACATCACAAATAGTAATTAAATTTTATTGTTGATAAATTGTAACCAGATGAAAATTTAATTCATTCACTCTTTTCTTGTGAGTTTACCAAACGAGAACCAGAAGATACAAAAAGTGCAGATTCTGACAGAGATGTTTTTAATGAGAAACCTTCTAAAGAAGAAGTCATGGCAGCTACTCAAGCTGAAGGACCTAAACGAGTTTCAGACAGTGCCATTATCCACACAAGTATGGGAGACATCCACATCAAACTTTTTCCTGTTGAGTATGTACTATTTTCGTTGTCTTAGATAAACATCAATGTAAATATTTCTGTTTTAAGAAACCGTGCAACCTTAAATTATTCCAACTTGAGAAATTTCAAAGAATTGAAGTGTTTGAAAGAACATCTACCTTTAGTTTTCTGATAACTGTTCCTCTAGAAAATGGGATTATATATATACACACACACACACACACACACACACACACATACATACTTCATAGGTTTATTATTGTGAATATGAAACATAAGTCTATGAAAGTGCTGAATGTAAACTATAAGTGATAAATATATTACCATTAACAACACATCCCAACTAGATTTTGTGACTCACTTGTTATAATTGGCTTTACCCTCAAAGCAAATCCTTAAGGGGAGGATAATTTTTTCCCCTGTCATTTGCTAGACATCCACAACCTCTTCTTTAGTCCCAGTGTTATCCTTATGTTTGAAAAGTTCCAACAAAAAACATAAGGCCATTGAATTGAAAAAAGAAAAGTATTCTGGACAGTTTAAAATTTTGCAAGATGAACATGGAATACCAGATACAGTAGAATATCTGGCTATTCTTGATCCAAAAGGTGACATCTTTTACAACACCTTTACTTAAAAGTACTTATTTTGGATATGTTTTATACCTGCCGTGGTAATGTACAAAGAACTAAGCAGTTCTAGACACCTGGACCATCTCATTTTAGGTACTCAGAACCCCCATGCAGCTATTAAGCCTGTCCCCTAATGTACTTTGTGTAATTATCTTTTGTATCTCCCTTCTATTCTCAGCTCTAAGAACTATTACATGATAATATACCTTATTAAATCATCACATGAGATTGATTAACATTATTTGGAAAGTTTCATACTTTGTGATTGTCATTTAAAGTTGATTAGATTTGGGAGATATTTCAGAGAGTAAATGCTTAGTCAGGAATGGTGTTAGTGTACCATAACATTCTTTGTATAAGGGAATTATCTTTCCCAAGAACTGAACCCACTATATGAGTTCAGTGAACTTTTATATATGCAGTGAACATATATACCTTAAGGTGCTGTAGTTGTATTTTTTAACCTGCTAAATGACTTTGAAATTTAAATACTGTCAAGCTCAAATATAATAAGCAATCATGATCTAAAGATAATGAATTAAACAGTATGAATATACTATGGTTTGTATACTCTTCCAACTTTTGCTTATCTTGAGATTAGAAGAGGTTATGTGGGCAGCCCGGGTGGTTCAGTGGTTTAGCGCCACCTTCAGCCCAGGGCCTGATCCTGGAGACCCGGGATCGAGTCCCACGTCGGGCTCCCTGCATGGAGTCTGCTTCTCCCTCTGCCTGTGTCTCTGCCTCTCTCTCTCTCTCTCTCATGAATAAAAAATCTTTAAAAAAAAATAGAAGAGGTTATGAAAAATGACTCCTGAGAGTTTCAGAAGATACTGAAAACACCATTAAGAAGCACAACTGCAAAGAAAACTGTCTTAAGATGCTCTGAATAGATTTCATATTTTAACATATGTCTTACTAGGTGCCCTAAGACAGTGGAAAACTTCTGTGTTCATAGCAGAAATGGTTATTATAATGGACATACATTTCACCGTATAATTAAGGTAAGTTATACAAGAAATTTTTTTAAAGATTTATCTATCTATTTGAGAGAGAGAGAGAGAGAGAGTATGTGTGTGTGTGTGTGTGTGTGTGTGTGTGTGTGTGTGTGTGTGAGCAGCGGAAGGGTCAGAGGGAGAGAATCTTCAAGCAGACTCCCCGTTGAGTCCAGAGCCTGATGCTGGGCTTGATCCCACGAGCCTAAGATCATGCATGACCTCAGCCAAATCCAGGAGTCAGATGCTTAAGTGACTGAGCCACCCAGGATCCCTAAGTTGACACAAAATTTATGTCATTTCAGGAATAGTTTTTGCAAAACCAGAAGTTTAAGCCTAAGGAATCTTCTTTGTCTCCCAATGATCAATTTATTAGAAATGAATAGGAAAAATGGACTATGGAAGCCAAAAGAAAAATGGATGGTCATAAACATCAGATCTAGAATCAAGTGCAGGAATAGTAACTTGGTACCTTTTTAGAAACATTGCATCAGTATTTTGTCAGCAGCTAAAACCAGGGTCACATACTGACTAAAAAGGTCATGCTTAGATAAAACCAATAGCTAAGGTTACTTGTACCTGGTGACTAGATAAGGTGTAGATCTAAAAGATAAGATTTTAAATAATAGAAGAGACGTGATGCCACTTAGTCTTTGAGAACCATCATTAAGTGCTTGCTTCGGCAGCACATAACAGTAAAATTGGAGAACCATCATTAAAACCTGAAGTCAGAAAGAACTTGGCCCAGGATCTTGTTGAGCAGGGTTCCATAAAATGGATGGGCCGTAGTGTAGCTCTTGGTTACTGGCAGGTCAGAAATGGCAGGAGAAATGACAGGAAGAATAACCAGGTTTGAGGGGGGTGGTGGGGTGGGTGTCTGAAAGAATTAGTGAATTAGAAGAATTAGTGAACCAGGCAATCCACAGTGTTGAGGGAAAGGGAAGAGAGTAAAGTGGGGCAATTCTGTAAAACCTACCACACTCTACAGATATAAAACTTACTTAAAATATTCATTGTTTTTTTTTTAAAGATTTTATTTATTTATTCATGATAGTCACAGAGAGAGAGAGACAGAGAGGCAGAGACACAGACAGAGGGAGAAGCGGGCTCCATGCAGAGAGCCCGACGTGGGATTCGATCCCGGGTCTCCAGGATCGCGCCCCGGGCCAAAGGCAGGCGCCAAACCTCTGCGCCACCCAGGGATCCCATATTCATTGTTTTTAATTGGATTATTGGGGAAAACCAGTACATGTCTATCAATGAGGAGACCTTTGCAATTTTGTTTCAGTCACTGAAACAAGGTAGTGTGTAAGTGAAGGAAATTTATCTTCCAAAGTAAAGTAGGGACGCCTGTGTGGCTCAGCAGCTGAGCGTCTGGCTTCAGCCCAGGGCATGGTCCCAGGGTCCTGGGATCGAGTCCCACATTGGGCTCCCTGAAGGGAGCCTGCTTCTCCCTCTGCCTGTGTCTCTGCTTCTCTCTCTCTCTCTGTCTCTCATGAATAAATAAAATCTTTAAAAAAAAAAAAAAGAAAAGAACAGTGTAATATGTTTTTTGTGTACTTCTTGTTAAGGGCTTCATGATTCAGACAGGAGACCCAACAGGTACTGGTATGGGAGGAGAAAGCATATGGGGAGGAGAATTTGAAGATGAATTTCATTCAACATTACGACATGACAGACCATATACGCTCAGCATGGCCAACGCTGGATCAAATACTAACGGATCCCAGTTTTTCATAACAGTAGTACCAACGGTAAGTAGAACAGCATTATCTGTAAGCCACAGATTCATAGTTTACGATGTAAAAATGAATTCAGTGGAAGAGAGCTGCACTATTTTCTACCATTATTTATATCTGCCAGAATATAAAAATGAAAACAATTTAAAGGAGAAAATGTAAAATTACCGAACAAATCTGATTTTACTTTGTAAAACTATACTTTTGTAACTAAGGACACTTGAGTTTAAGTCAACTTTGCCGATACTAATTGTACAATAGAAAACAAATTACTTCACTTCGGGGCCTTTTTCCTTATCTTTAGAATGGGGGGAAATTAGAGTATATGAATTCTCAATTTTAAGACCTTTATATATATTCTTATATCTCTGAAATCAGAATGCAGCCCATAATCAATGGCACTGTATTTTTGATAAAATACGGTATAAGAATATTGAGCTTTCTTGCTCTGCACTTATACAAAATTATACAGCTTATTACACTGTTTGAAATTAAACACCATGCAGTGAAAAATATTTATAATTACTATCAGGCACAAAGTCCCAGGTAATATTCACAAAAGTTCTAGTATCATTATACCCAGTTTTAAAAAATAGATGAGGAAATGAAGAGTGAGATATGATTTAAGTTGTCAGAGATCAAGTAAGCAGCTGAGCTAGCATTTGAGCTCCCATGTCTAATATGAAAGTACATGCTGCTTAAACAGTTCCAGACTGCTTCTTACTTAATGCAGGGAGGATTCCTGCAGAGAAGTTCTAAAACCTGAGCCATAACTCGTTAAGCTATGCAGAGACACTTACCTTTAGCAAATATCTTCCAGCTCCCTTTGGTCTGAAAGATGCAGAAATCTAAACAGTATGCTGTGCTTTTATATTTTTTCGTATAAACATGGAAATCATTCTTAAAAGCTGCTAAATGAAATAAACTGTACATCCTTTTAATTAAATTTTTTAAATGAAGCATAAATTTAAATTCTCTTTAATTTGCTCACCCAAAGGGTGTGATTTAGGAAATCTGAGTTTACCAAGATTTTCCATTTCTCCTCCATTGCAGCCTTGGCTTGATAATAAGCACACAGTGTTTGGACGAGTGACTAAAGGAATGGAAGTTGTACAAAGGATCTCCAATGTCAAAGTCAATCCCAAAACAGATAAGCCCTATGAGGATGTCAGCATCATAAATATTACTGTCAAGTAAAATAAGGTTTGTTTCATTGTATATGTAAATAAAAATACACATATATCAAATAGGTTTATTTTACATTAGGAAGTTCTTAGGACTTGTTGGACATACAAATCATGTTTCGGGGGATCCCTGGGTGGCGCAGCGGTTTAGCACCTGCCTTTGGCCCAGGGCGCGATCCTGGAGACCCGGGATCGAACCCCACGTCGGGCTCCCGGTGCATGGAGCCTGCTTGTGTCTCTGCCCCCCTCCCCTCTCACTATCATAAATAAATAAATAAAAATTTAAAAAAAAAAGCCTTCAGTGGAAAAAAAAAACAAATCATGTTTCAAGGATGCAAGATTATGTTTTTATATTTTTCATTAAAAGTCCTTTTTTAAAACTCTGCCTATGGTTTTCCTTGTAGTATTTCTCATCCTAGGAGATAATAAACTGAAATGGACTAAATTTGGGCAAACAGCACTCCTTATATGTAATTATCCTTGAGACTCAAAACCATATTGAGTAATGAGAATTGTATGCATATGTTCCTTAGGTTTTTAAAAACATGGTACATAATCTGCCTTCATGTTTCTTTGGATCCACTAAGAAAGGATACCAGGATCTGATAATAATGTACCACTTCCTTTCTTTTCTTAGGTTTGTGTTTTGTGCCAAATAATTTTGCCTTTTAATCATTGTTAAAAAGAGTAAGTAGAAGTAAGTAAAATTTCAGGAAATAAATAGCAAGTTGTAGTTTATTAAAGATTTAGAAATAGCTCTGTAGTTCTAGGTAAGTCACATTTAAATGAGTATTACACCTGGTGTTTAAGTATCAGAATAAAGTAGTATTTCAGTCCTTAGTTTTATATACAGGTTCATTTACTATTTTCACATTATTTTCCTCATATAGCTACATTCAAATTTTCTGTCCTCAAATAATAGTATCTTTCCTTACTTTACTAAATAGACCATTGAGAAAAAGTATATGTTAAGTAAAACTTTTAGTAGCTAATAATGGAGTAATTAGGAGTTTGAGCAATAAAATGAGTTCTAAGTCTTCTATTGATTTCATTTCTTCTTCACTCTCCCTCCTGACTTCGTAACTATTAAGAACCATGGCTTCTTATTTCCACTCTTGAAGTTAAAGGAGAATAAGAAGTTAAAGGAGGAGCATGTTCAACAGACCTATTTAGGGAATTCACATTCTTATGTTTCAACCTAAACTTACACTTTTCCTTCGGTTGACAAGCAGGATTACTTCCTTTATCCATTTTGTACCACAAACCTGTGAGATGGATTAATGTACCAAGTTGTACTACTATTTTTTTTTTAAGATTTGTATTTATTTATTTATTTGATAAAGGGAGAGAGTGCATGCACGACTTGGGCGGGGGGCTGGTGGGAGCAGAGGGAGAAGCAGACTCCTGGCTGAGCAGGGAGCCCCAGGACCCACCCCAGGGTCATGACCTGAGCCACTGACTGAGCCACCCCTGGCGCCCCCAAGTTATGCTACTTTTATTATTATGTCCTCCTTTTATAAAGCAGAACCTAGACATAAAATGACTTTTCACTGTGACATTTACCTTTACTTCCTCTTTTAGATGTCTTGGCATCTCCCAAGCCATTTATTCATTCCTGAAAACATAATCCTAAATTTTTTATAATACTGCCACCAAGTGGTGGTGATGCCCCATTCTGCCAAACATAGTTATTTTGGTTGAGTGAAAAATCCTAGTTGATTAACGAATTTTTCCATTTCATGTCACAAATTTAACAGGAGACCTAAAAATATACATTGCTAGTATCTTTTTTTAAAGCATGTTTTAAATTATTATTAGCAGGATATCATCTGATACTTATTCATCCTCTTCATTATTTTTTTAGGAAAAGTATAACTGTCTTCTTTCCTATTAACCACTTTGCAAATTGAAAGGTATCTCAATGCTAAGGAAAATGTCTTTCTTTTGGCAATATTAGTTCATAAGGCTACACCTAAGTATTCTCAGCCATTTTCTAAAACAGTTACTTAAAATTTAAAAAAACAGGGGTTTCACGGTGTTTAATGCAAAAATTTAGTTCTGTCTAGATAATGCTCATTTTTTTTATTTTATTTTTTATTTTTTATTTATTTATGATAGTCACAGAGAGAGAGAGAGAGAGAGAGAGAGGCAGAGACATAGGCAGAGGGAGAAGCAGGCTCCATGCACCGGGAGCCTGATGTGGGATTCGATCCTGAGTCTCCAGGATCGCGCCCTGGGCCAAAGGCAGGCGCCAAACCGCTGCGCCACCCAGGGATCCCCGATAATGCTCATTTAAGTGTGGCTTACTTTGCAACTACAGAATGCTTTATTTCTAAATCTTTAATAAACTGTAACTCAGATTTGACATGGAAGTCAATCCCTACCCCATTTTGTTTCCTTTCTCATAACCACAGCATAAATAGGACTTTAGGTGGTTACTAATTATACTAGTAGATAGATGGTACATGAAACAAAACTTATAGAATAATGATAAGACTTCCTTACAATGATTTTAACATTTTATTGCTGTCTATATGTAATGCAAATAATGGCTTCTGGTGATAATAAAGCATTCCGATATTACAGACCAGGGCTACACACTTGTAAACCTGCTTTACATAAACCATACAATAATATTTAGCTTAATACAGAAATTCAGAGCTAGGAGGCAAATCCTAATACTGTATTTAAGACATCTCTCTCATTATTAAGTTTGACATTTCTCAGAGGGAACTAGCAAAATCTTAACCAATGATTAGGGAAAGAATACAACCATAAATAGTAGTAAGGGCCTGAGAAAAATATTTCTTAAAAAAAAAGAAATCACACACAGTTATGTACATTATAATCAAGTCTAAGCACAATTTTTACATTGTGTTTAGTAATATCCTAAGAATGTGAATTACAAAGTTTACCAAAACTGGTGAAATAAACTTAATAATTTACAAGGAAAACAACTTTACATTTTAGTGTTAGATTTTTTTTTTTTTCAATTACCTAGTAGAGAAAGCAGGTCAAGGGCTCACAGGCAAATGTTAACACATTTTTTTTTATTTTTCACAGTTATTGTAATCAAATATTAAATAAATTCATAAGTGTTACTTATATGCACAAATTACACTTGTAACAGCATGACTTTTACTTGAAAAATAAAGGATGAAATATTTACTTATTTACACACTGCCCATAACACTGATGGACTTCTTTCTAATGCTTTGTTTTCTAAAAGTTTTGTTGTTTATTTTAAACAAAAGTACATTTGAAGAGACTGAACCAAAAACAGTGCCACCAAAGAGGGACCTCTCCTAGCAGTTCAACTAATAAGACTTAGGACTCAACTTCATCCTAAAGGATGAAGAGCCTTTTAAAAAAATAATAAAACTGAATCTAGCTATGTTTAAATATAAATCGTACTGCCATAATGAGTATCCTTAAAAAATGAAAAACAGTAAAAAGCACAAAATTTTTAAACTTTTACAACACTGCATAATAAAGGTGATGTAAACTTTCTGAACATTTCCTTAGACACATTCTCAACTAACTTTTCAAGGCCTTATCATGAAGAGCCTTGATAACATTTTATTGTCAAGATAAATGCACTTATTTTGGGAAAGCTATTAAAGTAACTAATTCTCCACTGCTTAAATGACTTCTCTTAAGGTAAATGTAGTTTTCTACTTAGATCTCTATTTCTTTTTTTTTTTATGTAAAGCCAACAACCCTGGTTCTATGTGTAACTTACTACATTTTACCCTATAATCGTTCCCACTAAGGATGCAATATTATTTTAAAAAGAAACTCTAACTAATTTAAATGTGTTGAAAATAGAAGGACCAATTTAGAGCTGTGACCTAGGAAATAATATATCTAGGTTCAACCCTGGAAATGGGTCTTTCATAAGTGAAGATTAACTACAACATAACTGACTTTCACAGTTTTATTATTAATTATTCTTCAGTTTAATACTAATCTGACAGTCATACCTAGTTAGATAACATGTCATATGACTCACTTGAGTTTTATACAAAAGGGCTTAGAGAAAGTTTAATAAAACATTATAAAATATTAATTTTCTGCAGCTTATAGTTCTTAGCATTAAAGGAGTTCTGTTATAATAAACATAGAAGTAATCCTACTACCCAAAGATACAGTCTGGATTCTTTCATTAAATCACTGCTGCTTTGTTACTAAATACTGCCAAATCCAGTGAAAAGGTAAGATAAAAGAGAAGCTATGTTTCACTTGCTTCACACAGAGGTTCCATTAGGCACTCAGTTGGCTATTCCTTTTTCACTGAAAGAATAAATCTTCACCTTACCGTTTCTCTCTACTTCTTTCCCAGTATATGGTTCACATATAATGTGAAAAAAATAACAGATTTATGTTTTTAAAAAATGTATATTCACTAAGTCCCTATTTAATGCAATTTTAATCTGCTCAAATATTTAAATTTTACTACAGAGTAACTTTTTAAAAAGCAATATTGTACTGAATTCCCCAACCAAAGTCCTTTTAAGTATACATCCTAAATTAACTTTGAGATGCAGAATTTCTTATATTATGTGCAAAGTAACTCTTAACCACAAAACTTTGAAGAACTGCTACATTTAAAATCAAGCAACATCCAATACTCCAGCAGCCACAAGATGCCTTGAGAGCCAATCTAACCCTTCATATAATCCCATACCACTTCGAGCATCACAGCCCTGAATATACCAGCTACGGCCACAGCACAATTTATGCAGACTGAGAAGTTCAGTGATTTCTTCTACTGACAGAGCTCCAGCAACATCCTGAAAGATATATACATAACAAATTTTTTATAATCTGCTCATCAAAATTATTTATATAGAATTCTGTTGGTACCATTCTAACAAAAGCCTAAAGTTAAAACCTAAATTCACCCTTCAGTAACTATTCTGTAATTAATAGAAAAGTAGGGTTGTGATTAAGATCATTTATAATATAGTCTGTAAGAATAACATCACAGTGAAATCAATAAAGGCAATGCAGCCTAAATGAAAGATACTGCCTGAGTCATAAGGCATTGACTTAAAAAGGTTAACACATCTGTATCACAAAAATGGCTCATACATAGAATTTATAAAATGAAGTCACTAAATTCCCACTCCAAATACCCCCGAACACCCCTACTTCCTAGAAGCAACCACCAGTTATGATTTTTTATATATTTGTCCAGATAATTTCCATGCATTCATGCAAATCAACATCCTTTAGTTTTTTAAAATTTTTTACTGAACACATCTTGAAGATAATTATCTTTCCATTATCTGGACAAGTAGACTTTCAGCATTATTTTTAACATCCGAATTACATTCCTGGGTGTAGGTGCTACATTAATTTTCTTAACCAGTCCTATTCTTTTTCTTTTTTTTTTTAAGATTTTATTTATTATTCCTGAGAGACACACACACACACAGAGAGAGAGAGGCAGAGACACAGGCAGAGGGAGAAGCAGGCTCCATGCAGGGACCTGATGTGGGACTCGATCCCAGGTCTCCAGGATCACACCCTGGGCTGAAGGCAGCGCTAAACTGCTAAGCCACCCGGGCTGCCCAACCAGTCCTATTCTTAATATATTTAGACTGAACTACTATTTATGTGCTATTACAAATACATACATACGTAACATTTTTACCCACGTTCATTTGCACCATTATCTGTAGGATAACTTTAGGATATTTGTAGAATACTTTCCTAGAGGTAAAATTGCAGGGTACAGGTATATGCATCTAAAATTTTGATAGGTATGGTACTGCCCAATTGCCCTCCAAGAAAATGTCTCTAATAACCACACCAACAGTATATGTGAGTCTGAAGATTATGAACATTTTTATCTTTAACAACGAAAAGTGGGTATTTTGCCTTATTATGTGTCTTTTTCAATAAGTAAAGCAAAGTGTATCTGCTCTTAGTATTTGCCTTTTATTTTTTATGAGGAAAACCTTTTATTCGCCATCCTACCCTTCCTTTTTATGACATGTTAGCCCCTCTACTGCACTTGTCATCCTCCTAGAAGCATAGGCTCACATCTAGGAATCTGCAGCTTCCCCATGTCCTTTACCCTCCCCATTCAGACACAGAATTCTAACAAATCTACGTTCATAAACTCTTTCCAATCTGCTTCCACCCTTCTATTCCTTTAATTGAGGATCTTGCTAACTCTCTCACTTGAATTACTGCAGCAATTTATTGTGTATTCCTGTCTCTAGTCCCTTCCCCCTAATTCTGTATTCTACCCCCAGACTATGGTCTTAAAATGCAGAGTCCAAAAACCTTTTGATGGTTTTCCTGTCACAGAATAAAACCTAAATTTCTCAGTCTAGACCTTATTTGTTATTCTAGATTTTCGTCATCCTCTATTTGCCCTTTACATATAGATTTGCTGATGCTCCCTATTTATGCTTTTATTTTCTCTGCCTATGGCGTTCTTTCCTTCACATATGAACTCAAAGTCCTATCCATAATTTCAACTCAAATCCCACTTTTTACAAATCTTTTACAAGATGCCACCTTTAGAACTACTCTAATTTCCCATAACATGTTAATATTACTGAAGTGACTTGCCAGTTTTCTATGTATTAGAATCTCATACACAGTCACTTACACGTTCACATACATATACAGGAGTTTCTGGTAAGCATCAATTTCTTTCTTTCCCATATACTCCAAGGTACCAAGTATAGCACTTTGCACATACATTGTATTTATAAAATACTCAACAGAAATTTCATAAGTATTTACTGAATCATCTGTTTTGAAATCTTTCCAGTTACCCTGTAACATAGAATAAACAAAACTACCAAATAGTATTCAGAAATACGTGTTACCTGTTTGTTAGCAAAAATCAGGAGCAAAGCATCTCGAAGTTCTTTTTCCGTTAACAACTTTGCAAGTTCACTATGTGCTTCACTAACTCTGTCTCTATGACTGCTATCAACAACAAATACGACGGCTAGGGGAAAAAAAAACTGAATTAGTCATCTGTTAA